CGCGGCGCGTCCGAGGATGACCTACAGGCTGTGTTTTCGAAATACGGCGCTGTGGAATCTGTCCGCATCCTCCGCAACATTGCAGGCAAGAGTAAAGGCTCCGCCTTCGTTGTCTTCGCCAAGGCAGAAGAAGCTACCAAGGCCCTCGAGCTAGACAAGACGAAGTTCTGGTCGCAGATTCTGACCGTCGAACTCGCGACTGCGACGAATTTCAAGGCCACGGCTACCACTAGCACTTCAGCTGCGGGGTCCCCGGCACCGAGCAACGACCTTGACTCCCGGATGTCGGGTGCTGGGTCGCCGGCTGCTGGAAACAACCATGGACATGCTGCCGGACAGTCCAGAGCTGAGATCACAGCCCGTACCATCACGCTTCTCAACGTGCCGGATACTGTGAATGACGCGCGCCTATCGGCTATTTGCGCGCCGTACGGCCGCGTAGTGAAGCTCGTGCTGCGACCAGACCACCAAGGTGCGATCGTTGAGTTTGAGGATGTTGCTTCGGCCGGGAAGGCGAGTCTGGGGCTCGAGGGGTACGAGATTGTCGGCGGGCGACGACTGAGAACTGGCGGACTGAAGGACCTGTTCGCGTCGGGGGAAGAGAGGAAGACGGATCGCATTGTTATTGGCGGGGGTGCGAAGAAGACTGAAGCGCAGCCGGAACAGCGCACGGCGTTTATGCAGGCGGGACCAACGGTTCGTCGGCCCGGAGCCGGCGGGAGAGGAGGGCTAGGTGTGAAAAGGGGCCTGGGCTTTAAGGGACCCAGCAAGGCGGCTGCCGATGGCGTAAATGGGAATAACGCGGAGTCTGGGGAGAAAAAGGCGGTGAAGAGCAATGCCGATTTCAAGGCTATGTTTCTCAAGAGCGGCGAAGGCGGCGGCGCCGGCGACGGACCTAATAAACAGGGGTAGAAAGGGTTTGGAAATAGGACCTTGGCGAGACCAAGTCTAGGAAAGGAAAGGAGCATGAAAAACGACGAAAAACTAATACCAATTAGAACCGGACTATTGGGCGGCGCATGGCTTGATTTTGCCGGTTGGTTGTAGGAAGGGAATTAGCTATCTTAATAGGAGGGGGGAGAGTTGCTTTTTCTGCATTTGGAGAGGGGAGGTGTCAAAACTCAGTTACGTACGCAACGCTCGCTGGCATACGGGCATTAATGTACAAATATAAACTTATTATCCACTCAATGTGGGTTCCAAAGTTACGTCGTCTGCTGTGACTTTTGATTATTAATGTGGCCCTCCCATGGAATCACACCCCCTCCGCGGTTCTAGGTAAAGAAAGGGGGCCGGGCCCACGACGTGAATTTGAACTGAGATAAGAGTTCTTTGAATTAATACTGTATATATAATGCAATCTCATATATCTATTTATATTTATTTGTTAAATTCGTTGTTATTTTTGGCAATAATGGTAAAATATTAATATTTGCGTAGATATTAAAACCCATATCAAAAAATTAAGTCAGAATCTCAGAATTTCAAAAGCCCCGTGCTATCGAGTTTTTAACATGGAAAGTCCCATACAGTTATTTACTTCGACCACAACATTGACTAGCAAACCTTACAACAAAAAGCTAAGTTCAAAGCACAAAAGTGCAAAAGACTCATCAGATATTCTTTTAATATCTGATGAGGAAGAAAATCAACTTTGTGATTTTACTTTTTGTCGTTTATTGATCGTTTCCAAGCTCTTTCTTTTATTTCCATTTTTTCCCTTTCATCCGGGTGTCGAATCCATAACCTCTATATCCTCCGCTGGCCAGATTGTCCAGACAGTGGTACTACCACTGCGCCACTGTGCCGCTGGGAGGAATGGGAGTAAGTTGGTTTATAAGGTTGGGGGGAGGGGGGGGGGGTTTGCTAGATGGGTGGGAGGGTGGCCTGAGGTTGGAGGTTGAGGTTGGGGGTTGTTAGGAGCGGGTTGGGAAGGGGGGGAGGTTCGCTAGATGGGTGAACGGGAGGAGATTGCGGCGGTAGGGGGGGAAGAGGATAAGAGGGGGGAAGTGGAAGAAGAATAAGGGTAGCGGAGAATAGCGGGTCTTTATCGACTCCCTCGCGCGCTTTCTCTCTCTGTTTGAGTTTATATGCTTTTATTTGTTTCTTTGTTTTTTTCTCTCCTCTTGCTTATGGGTTATGGGGTAGGAGGATAAGGGGGGGAAGCGGAGGAAGAATAAGGCTATGGGAGAGTAGAGGGTCTTTATCGACTCGCTCGCGCGTTTTGTCTCTCTGTTTGATGTTTGAGTTTATATGCTTTCATTTGCCTCTTTGTTTTTGTTCTTTCCTTTTGTTTATGGGTTATGGGGTAGGAGGAATGGGGTTCATGCTGGTTGATGATGAGATGTGAGGTTGTACTGGCTCGGTATACCCGTTGTTGGGAGTTAAGGGGGTAGTAAGTGAAAATTGGGCGTGCTAGAGCGGGTGACCTGGGGATGGAGGTTGGGTGGTTGGCTTGGGAAGGGAGTCGGCGTTTCGCTTGCTGGTTGCCTAAGAAAGGGGGAGGGTGTTCGATTGCTCGGTTGGGAGAATGAGGATGGAGGTTGGGAGGTCGGTTGGGAAAGGGGGCGTCGGATATACAAATTCACCAAATATTCGTATCCCCTTGTTCCCGCCTCCTCCTTTGCCCCGGTGTCGCCCCTTCACAGCTCGTCCCTTCACAGCTCGCCCCTTCACAGCTCGCCCCTTTGTTCCCCCTTATCCCCCCTTCCCACCCCCCCTTATCTCTAGCACCAAATACGAACCAGCCGAAAGGCTATAAGGCCATTGAAGAGGCCACCATCAAAACAAAGGGGTGTTTGGCGTAACGGTAGCAGGCCTGATTTGTAAACTTTCCACTGTACGTTGGGTACAAGTCTATCATCTGAAAGCAATCCCGTGGATACAGATAACTCACTGGTTCAATTCCGGTACACTTCCTTTATTTTTTTATTTTTTGATCTTTTTCAGTTCATTAGAAGATAACTATCTATCCCCATCAACTTATATTGGGACGGCAGCTTCCACGCCTTTCTTTACTTTGTTTTTCAAGAATGGATATTTGAACTATGCTTCCACGCATTTCTTTACTTTAGTTTCGAGAATGGCTATTTGAGCTATGCCTCCTGGCCTAACACCTAGACTGGTACTCTCACGAAGCTTCTACCTCATCTATCACTGAGTGATAGTACACTTGCATTGGATTTCCGCCATACATGCATCGCCGACGGCGAACCACACAAGTTCTACATTACCAACGCCAATATGATAGCGTTAATCAAGGCGATGACAACAATGGCTGTTCCTCGGTGTTGCGCCTCCATGGGATCTTGGGGACCCTGAAGTTCCACCTTGATCCTGTTTGACGTCTAAATATAGACGGAGGATTGTACGCCCAGTGACACAGCATTCCAGCGAGGAAACCAACAGCATCATTTTTGAAAGCCAGAAGCCCACCAACAGTCATCACCATTACCGTCCACCTCTGCATCCTCTCTTCGTCAGTCGGCATCCTAAACGCATTTGCCACCGATCCACCTTGCAACACCGACGGCCCCGCGGCCTCCGACCCCTCCCACAGATCTCTGGCGCCGTTGTTCAACGTTTCACCGACCTTCGCTAACTCTATTCCAGCAGCGAGTACCATAACACCGAGTAGGCTTTTCGGATACTGATGTAGTAAACCGACCAGCGTTTCACCAAATATGAGACCCATGACTACCTTGAATAGCCCAAGGACGATAATACTAGCCCCGCTTCGAGCACCGAATCGATACTGTGCTGCGAGTCCTCCGGAACCGTGGCAAACGGGCATTGCGCCAAACCACCCTCCGATTAGATTCATTAGTCCAACACTAAGACCCAGAGAGGTCACCGACGGTGCTGGAAGGTGAGGTAGGAGATCAGCAGACAAAAATGAAACAGCAATGACTGAATTCAAAGTGGTAAGAGGCAGCTGCCCAAGTCCAGCATCAATGGCTCCCGTTTTGAACGAACCCCACGATGGGACCAGAAACTGGGGATGCCAAATTGCCAACGACGGCAGGTTGGAAGACCCCGTGAGTAGAAATGACAGAACAATCCCGACAACAAAAATCACGAGTGCGTAAGGAAACCGTGGAAAGCTGTGGGTCCAGAGAAGTGCCAGAAATGCTCCAATGCCCCAGAGCCGGTTGTCTGCCCACGACGGCGAGGTCCAACCGAGTGGTTGGAGGAGCGATGTTCCAGCTGATAAGATCAGCGACATTCCAGCTCCGACTTGGATCCCTTTCACGACCGGAGTAGGGATGACGCTGGCGAACCAGTGTAATAGTCCAGTGACGCTAAATATGAGGACAATTCCCGACACGAAGAACCCCGCCGAGACGGTCTCGGAGATCGTGAAGGATCTCGAGATTGCAACTGCAGCTATGGCCTAATTCTCACTTAGTCTCTTTTCTTCTATGACGAAACATGCCATAGAGGCGGATCTACCTTCATCGGCTGTACTGGGAGTGGGATTCCGAAAATGACGCCGGTGAGGATGTTCCATAGTCCGGAGAAGACGAGGGTGCTGGAAAGGGATATAGAGTTTTGGACGGCGAGGGCTATCATCAGAGGGAGAAGAGTGCCTAGGTCCCCAAGAGCTCCTGAGATCTCAGCCAAAGGGTGTCTTCTGAGAGTTTCCCAATTGTTGGCGTTGAACCGCCGGAAGTCTACAAGACCCATGATGTATGGTGTCTGATTAAAGTACTTGGTGGTAATTATCGATCTTGGGCACGAATAAATTTAGCTATTATGAGAAGATAATACAATATATCAGCGTCCTGGAGGACAACATGAAATTCTTGATTTATGCCATATATTGAAGTTGAAGTTAATCATTTCGAGTCTATGTGATGTTCGGAGATGGCGGGGTTAGGGGACTTGGACCCTTCAAGGTTAGCGCCAAGCGCACTTAACGGCGGAAGCGGCCGCCGCCCTTCGCGTCACCAAAATCGCGTCGCGTCGCGTTGACAGCCATTTATCGCCTATCGCGGTTTCAAACCCAGCCACTGCTCTCTTATATCTACCTCTTCCACCAATTCCACAGTATTGAAATCCAACAAACACAAACACAAACACGATATAAACACGAAAATTATTACACACCTTACCAATTACTAATTACCAATGAACAAATAAGCGTCAATTAATTATTTGATTTTCCTCGCATCCCGGAACTACAGCTTACAATGGCTGCTCCAGTCGCCATGATGGATGTTGCTCCCGAGGCGTCTTCACCAATCCATTCGAAGACGACCTTGCCACTATCCGACCTCGCGAGCGAAGCACAATCGAGCGATGACGACTCTGAAGGGGGAGTGGTGGTTAAACCGCGTGCCCGTGGACGACTTGCAGGAAGAATGCTCGATTCACGGGACGCCGAAGAACACGAAGTCACAGCAATGAGCGACAGCGATGTCGAACAGGGGAAGGATATGGAAAAGGCGAAAGCAGAAAGGAGGAGGAGATTCTTGGGTATAACATCATCGGGCGAAGATGATGCAGCAGCTGAGTCGGAGGCAGAGAACGACGATAATACAAGCAACGCTGGCGATCAGGGCATGACTGCAAGGGAGAGGATGCTAAAGTCTCTGATGACTGAGAAAAAACCAGCACAGGAGGAACAAACCACAAACCAGGCGGATGCAAGTGACGACGAGGATATTGTCGTTCCATCCCGGTCGAATCATCGGATACGGCAAAGAAGTTCGCCCAGGCCGAGCCCTCCCAGGTCGCTAGACTCTGGTCGCGGCGGCCTCTTCGTATCGCCATCGCCCAGTCCCAAGAAGACTAGAAGCCCACCACCAGCGGATTCCGACTCGGAGGACTTGCCTGTGGACCTATCTGCGGTAACTTCGACCGACCGCTTCAAGGCGCTTCTTGAGACGAAACGACAGGAACGCGCCGCAAAAGATGCTGCCGATTTGGCATGGAGGAAGGCCGCCGCTGAACAACAGGCACTGCTTGAGGACGACGACTTGGTTGGTAGCGATGATGAAGGAGGACAGCGATTGACACAACAAGTTCGACCAACGAGAAAAGCTAGCAAGAAAGCTGTCGAAGAGATACACCGAGAGACACAACGCATGGCAAGGAACATGCAATTGGCCCACCAAGCAAAGACAAAAAAGAAGATCACAAAGTCGAGTCTTTTCGCGAGATTTAACTACAAGCCAGAAGGGTTTGTGGAAGAACCAGCAACATCTAGCTCGCCGCAGCAATCCGATGCTGAGATGCATGAAACACCACCTACTTCTCCACTATCTCCAAGCCTCACAGCTCATAAATCCGCACCCCCAGCCGAACTATCAACTGTCTCGTTGCCTACAGGTTCGCTATCTGAGGATGAGGAGGCCCCACTCCCTACAGTGGAAGATATGATTTCTTCGCATGTCGCATCGTCACCCTCAAGCCGCAGGCTCGACAACGGAAAAGGCAAGGCCATCCGACGATCCCCTACTCCAACAGAATCGGCTCCCCAAATTCAACCTGTCACCACCCAGCCGAAAGCACCAAAGTTCTCGACTGCCAACGTAAGCTTTGGCGGTGACTCTGGTTCCGATGACGATTTAGAAATCATTCCATCGAAACCCCAGCTCGCATGGAAATACAGATCCAAGAAAGACCTGGATTCCATTTTCGACCGAGCCCCAGTTCACAAGGCCCGGGAATCCAATGGTCTTCATGCACTTAGAATGCTGGCACATATCTCTCCGCCACCGAAGAATCGGAACAAGAAGAATGCGAAGCCATCTATCAGCAATTCTGCGCTACAAGCATCTTTGCAGCAGCGTGCCCGACAGCAAGCAACCCGCGAAAGAGAGGAGCGGCTGCAGGCACTCCGTGATAGGGGTATCATTGTTCAAACAGCAGAAGAGAGAGCGCAAGAGCTTGAGGATGTGGAGGACATGATTACAAAAGCTCGCAGAGAAGGCGAGGAGATCGCAAAGGGGGAAAAGGCTGCTGCGAAGAAGCACAGGAAAGACAACGGCGAAGTTGACCCACTTGATATGGATGATAGTGATGACGAGGAATGGCAAGAAGAGGCAGAGAGGTTCTCTCAACAGCTATCTGCCTCTGGCTCAGAAGACGAAGCCGATGACGAGGAAGAGCACAGTGGCTCGGAAGACGAGGAGATGGAGGATGCGAATATGGACGAAGCAACCAGGCCTAATGCCTTGGTTGATGATGAAGCATCTGAAGATGAGGACGAGAAAGAAGAGGAAGAAGTCGAAGCGAGCGGTCTCATTAATGACGAAGATGAGGAAGATGCACCAAACGCAGTCGCTCGGAGAAGAACTAAGAACACAAACGTTATCTCAGACGACGAAGACGATGTATCGGTTCCACAGTCGCCTGCACTGGCACCGATGAACACCCCTGGGCCAAAGGCAACTGCTACAACATCCCCTGCCGCGCCTATGTCTGTTCTCCGCTCGGCAACGAAGACATTCATTCCAGGTATCACTGTGGCAGGCCCAGCCGGCCTTGGTTTGACGCAAATCTTTGCTGGGACCATGGACACCCAGCCAGATTTCGATGCTACGCCTATGGAGTCACCATCTCAACGCCTGGACTCCCAGCAGGACTCTCTTGCTTTCCTTCGCAACCTTCCCCCTCCTGAATTCCCCGGATTCACTCCTACTATGGATGACGAGTCTCAAGGCATCGTCAAGAGCAGCCAAGTACAAATTGACCAAGTCGCTGCGACGCAGGCAACTCAGGCTGAGACTCAAGGAATCCAACTCGACTTCTCTCAGTCGCAAATTCACGGCTTCGATAGCTTAGTTCAGCAAACCCCAAGCAAGCATTCCGAATTTCCGGAGCCAACTCAAGACGAAGGCTTCAAGTTCATGTCGCCGATCATGGGCCGTTATACGGAGCCTCCTATGTCCACTGTCGACACGGTTATGATTGGAGGAACTCCAGCACCAGACCAAACCGAGGACATTGTTATGGAGTCACCCATCATGAAGAGAAAGGGCAAGCTTCAACGCAGAGTCCAAGCTCCTGTCCTGTCAGACGACGAGGAAGCGGAACCAGTCGACGACTTCGAGGTCTCCAATATCTTCGAAACCATGCGCAAAGCTTCCAAAAAATCTAAGACGGCTCCTATCGCCGACTTTGACAAGAAAAAGTCCGCTGCCAAGGAAATGGTCGAAGACCAGGCTTCCGAATCCGAAGACGAATATGCTGGTCTCGGTGGTGCATCTGACGACGAGTCAGAAGGCGAAGACGAGGCTGTGCAGGCCATGATCGACGACGAGCAGCGCGAACACTTCGATGAGACGAAGCTGGCCGCTTTCTACGCGGACCGCGAGCGTGCCGCAGATGAGCAACAGGTCAACAAGCTCTTCAAGGACATCACATCTGGCATGTTGAGGAAGAAGCGAGGCGCCGACTACGATCTCAGCGACTCCGATGACGACGGAGAAGCGAGACGCCGCATGAAGCGTCGCGAGTTCGCGAAGATGCGAAAGGCCCTCCTCGAAGACGAGCAAATCGGCAAGATCGCTGAGAACCCCAAGCGAGCCGCCTTCCTCCGAGCAATCGAGGATCGTGGTGATGATCAAGACATGATTTTCCTCGACGACGAGATCGTGGACGCCGAGAACGCTGCGTCGTCCCAGCCCATCGTCGACGACGAGGACAGCCAGGACGCAACAGTCGTGCCCAACAGCCAACCCGACGCTGCCCCAGGCGCCCTCAAACGCAAAGCCACCACAGAGCCCCAAGCACGTCTACCACCCAACCTCCGCCGCACCAAGGCCCTGGCCTCCAAGCGTCCAACCAGCCTCTCGGAGATCCGCGCCTCAGTGTCAAGTCTTATCGATGACCCGAACGCGATGCACGCTCCCGCCGAGGACAGCGACTCTGACATCGAGATCGAAGGCACGGAGTCCACTGACAGCGGCAAGGGGAAGGAGAACCACGACCCCTTCGCACGGCGCCACAGCGGCGCCACAGTCGTGGACCGCATGTCGCTCAAGCGCCAGTCCAGCACCGAGATGTCATCTGCAACGCGCCTAGCTTTTGCGGCCTCCTCAGCCACGGCTGGGTTTAAAGTTCCGCCGCTTCTAAGGCGCGCGACGACGAATAGCTCTGCTGCGTCATCGACGGGGAGTTTTGGTGGGGGCCCTGCGGGGGATAGTAAGGCGGCGCCGAAGAAGGGGAAGGGGGTTGCGTTTTTTACGAGGGAGGAGGAGAGGACGAAGGATATTAGGGAGGGGGAGAGGAAGAGGCAGGAGAGGTTTTTGAAGGGGGTTGAGGGGAGGAGGAAGGCTGTTGGGGGGTTGTTTGGGAGGGGGAGTTTTGCTTGATTGGGGGGTGGGATGGTAATATATAAGGGGGTTGGAGTATGGATGGTTATGATGTTGGGATGGGCGGCGTATGGATACTGGGCTCAGTATTGGTGTTGGATTTGGTGTTACTCTAGAATAATCGAGGATTCATAAATCCAGGCTTTTTTGGCAAGAAATTTCTGAGTGCATTGTGACCAGCCCACTGCCCCATAACTATCTAACCAAATATCGGCGGAACTCGTGTCCCTATTATAGTGTGTCTATATGCCACCCATGCCGCCCAATCCCCTATCTTGACTCTGCACACCCGACAAATGCGCCTGACTCCCTTTGAACAAGCTCTGCCAGATGAAAGCCTCGCTTAATAATAACTCGATGTCCTTCTCCGTCCACTCCTTCGTGGGGAGGCTTTGCAGGAACATCATGATCTCCTGGAAATCCATGTGGAGGAGCCGATCGGACCACTTCACGAGGAAGGCAGCGCAGACATAGAGGTGGAACGAGGAGAAGCCTTGATCCTCCGCCTGTGTGGGGTGTTAGCTGGGTTGGAAGAGGTAAAGGGGTGGGAGGAGACTTACCATATATGTATCCCACATCCTAATCGTATTCTGCACGCTTATCTCTCTCATTAACAGACAATTCATCCATCTGAAGCTGAACTGTATGAACTCTACACCCTCATTCTCGAGGTGTTTCGCCAGATTACTGTCTATCCTCGCGGTTAGATCACGTAGCCCTGCTACTTGCCGCTGAATACCCGGCTGGGCAAAGATATAATTGTCCTGAATTCCATCCAGGAGTTTCGTGAGACACCAGAACGAGTCCGCCTCCACCGCGTCTAGAACGGCTTTGGGTAGCTGCCCAGGGTCCATGCCACTGTCGATATTCCAGTCCATAACGTAACTTCCTAGAAAGACCTGCCAAAACGGCGTTACAAGGTCATTAATCCCCTGCACGTAGCCACTCGCGGGATGCCGCACTGCCCACAGATACAGTATTCGTTCTAATGACCGCTGTGTAGCTTCGTAGCCGTATAGCTCCAAATGCGGGTTTGTGCGTGGCACATCGATGCTGATTTGATGCCACACCGCCTCGTCCAAGCCACGAGCCTTTCCAGGGGCCGCTGGTGTACCCCCGCCCCTTTCGAAGGCCTGGCGTACGCCGTCGAGGTATTCCTTACGCTTCCTTTCTAATGTGCTTACTCGCCGTTCGCTGCTCGTAGGGAGGTACCCGAGCAGTAATTGCCACGTCATCGCGCGGACTTCTTGGGGTATTCCGTTCCATGACGCCGAGCGTAGTTCTTGGAGAGGTATCGAGGTCGCTTGTAATATCTTCTTAAACTTGTTTATCCTATTTATGCGGTGACTGTGTACGTCCACTTCTTTCTGTGTGGCGCCGTCTGGCACTGGCGGGTGGTGAATGAGATGTAACGAGTTTGCTGGGTCCCTTAAGATCTCTTTGTATTGTGGTCTGAGGATTTTGCCCTCACTCTTCTTGGTGGTTGGGTATGATGGTGCTGGGCGCTCGATAGCTATGTCTGCGCTGTTCGAGTATCGCCGTGCACCCAAAGACTGCCCCATGTCTGTCCTCCACGGACTTAGCGCAGCGACAGGCTCGGAAGCTTCACCAGGCGGTTTTTTTGGCTTCCGCCTCGTACTTGACACGCTTGGAAGCCCAAAGTCGTCGTCCCCATCATTATTATCATAGCCATATTCATCCTCATCATCCTCTTCATTCGCACCCCAGTCATTATTGGTGCTGGACGTGAAGCCCGAGTAATTTCGCCGCGGGGAAGATGTGGACCCAAGAGCTGATTTCGACAACTGAGATGCGTGTCTGCCGTCTGACTTATTCGAAGAGTGAGGTGGTGTCCTTGGGCGGGAGGAGCTTGAACCCAATGACCTTGTAGAGTATTAGCGGGGCATACTGGATTCTGGTGATGTACATACATAGAGTCGACTTTGCTGAGCATATCAGCATGAGAATAAGAAGCCCCTACAACCATATTCGGGTCTCGTTCCCCCTTTTTCTCCGACGACGGGCGCTTCTTCTCATTGCTTCGAGTCCTCCAAAAAGGTGACGTTGAGCTGGTACCCTGTTAGCTGGCTGGGATTGGATTATATTTGGCATTCGAAAGGCCCATGAAAGGTAGGTGAAATAACATACTCGGATCTCTCTATATCACAAGAAATAAATCAGCAATATCCTTGGAGCTCTGTATCTCGTGCTGAATCTCAATAAACCTTGGAGGGGCGGGGGAAGCACATACCAACTTGGACCATTTCCTGAGGAACATGAATTAGCACTTCTGGTGAATTCCAAGAGTTGTAAATGTACTGACCTGCTGTGGAGGCTTCTTGCCACTACCCAAATTCGAAAACATCTTCTTTGGAGCCTTTGGGTAGGCTCTTTATTGCTCAAGCCTCTTTGAACATCTTCGGTATCCATCAATCCCCAAGGCTGGCTGTCTATCGGAGCTTCACAAGGGGACAAGTCGCGCTAAGCACAGTTTAGGACTAGTGCGTCCACGAGAAAAGCAGCCTTGGCCTCTCGACGACTTCGGGTTGTTGTCAAGCTGCAAAGTCAACGTGGACATCATCACTTCACCTTCTCCATTATACTATTTCATACTATTCACTCATCTAATCTCATTCAAGACCAGCAGTAATTGCTTTGGATGAGATTGTATCCACGAAAATCACAAAACACCCTCCACTAACCTCGGTCGCAAAGTTAACCTAGCACGACAAATATGGCCGACCAAGACGACTTCGAAGATGATCTCTTCGCAGATCTGTGAGTACCTATCCCCAGAATACACCTCAGTTCTATGTTTCTACGATCTTGTCATCATTATTCGCGCTTTGACGCCCATCACCGACGTGGCTGACAAAAACCCCGCCAGGTACGAGGACGATACAACGAAACCAGCACCAGCTGCCCCAGAAGTTAGACCAGCACCGGCTGTAGTCAATGGTTCCAGCGCGGTGAAGACCGAAGAATCTGCGGCAGTGCCAGAGCCAGATGTGACCGAAGGCCAGGAGTCCAGTGAGCAGCCTGAGCAAGATGATGATGAGATAGACTTCAATCTGGGAGGCGGGAATGATTATAGCGCACCAGCTCAGCAAGAGCGTGATGCCCACGGGCCAGGAATAAAAGAGGACGGGTAAGATATAGTTATTTCTTTACACATTATGACCTAGCCATTGCGACAGAGTATGAGAGTTGTAGCATGACTGCCCTCTGGACAGAGGAGCCAGCCATGTTTCCATGGTGGACTTCTTTTATCATGAGGCAATGATTTGAGGCGTGTTTGGGAGATGCAGGAGGCGAAGCATGAGAGACCGAGCAAAGCATAGAGAGAAAGATTTTGCTGTCGTGGCTGGAAATATAGCAATTCCAGGAGGAGATCGATGGCTCGGATTGTGGAACTTCAGAAGCGTATCTCAAATCTCCCGGTGTGCCTGGGATGGATGACATTACCACCGACTTGCTGCTGAGAAGTCTACGTGGGATGGCAAATTGATGGTTTCACCATGGAGTCGACATCCGAGCGTTATAGTCTGGCATACTACTATTCCATAGCCTATTGTCGAGATAATCTCCATAGAGCATCAGACAGAAGCTAGATATGCCCATAGGCTTAGCAAGAACGAAAGGCGTATAGCGCTCTACGCCAGTACCTAGCATCACGATAGCAAAAACAAGATACGATATTATCTCACGGATCTGTCACACTGTCATACTCTTGCATGACTCAGGAGTCCGTGTATGAGAGACCTGATATTCCTTGCTTTGGGCTTCTCCAATGCAGACATTTGAGCCCGCTCTACGCAACATTCTGAGAAGACTACATCTATTCTGCGGTGGTGGAATGCCATACTATGAAAGCTGGACGGACACGTCTCTATATTTGGGAAGGAACGACACACCATACGCTTATGAGGTGCCCACTGTCCAAAGTATTGTAGCCAGGCAAGGAATAGTTCCGGCACGAGACTGAACGCAAAAAGATCTGAACTCTGATGTCGCTATGGCTTGTTATTTTTTGACGGAGTGTGTTTGCTGTTGCAATTATTGGGCTAACGTGTACTGTTTTTACAGGAAAATGTTCATTGGTGGATTGAACTGGGAAACAACGGACCGTGAGTGTAACTGCCCAAGTCGTTGTCAACAGTACTGATTATCATGTAGAATCACTGAAGGATTACTTTTCACAGTTTGGTGAGGTCATGGAATGCACCGTTATGAGAGACGGTGCGTCTGGCCGCTCCAGAGGATTCGGATTCCTCACGTTCAAAGACGCTCGAACTGTCAATGTCGTGATGGTCAAGGAACATTACCTGGATGGAAAGATTGTAAGAATACTCACCTTGGAAACACTATGGTTTCACCAAATTCTCGAGAGCCTCACCTAATACGTCAACAGATTGACCCAAAACGCGCCATTCCACGCGACGAACAAGAGCGTACCTCCAAGATCTTTGTCGGTGGGGTGTCACAAGAAGCAAGCGAGCAAGACTTCAAAGAGTACTTCATGCAATTTGGCCGTGTTGTTGATGCTACACTCATGATGGACAAAGACACCGGTCGTCCTCGCGGGTTCGGTTTCGTGACCTTTGACTCGGAGGCTGCCGTTGATGCTTGCATCAACATTCCCCTTGAGATCTTGGGTAAGCCAATTGAAGTTAAGAAAGCGCAGCCACGTGGAAACGTTCGAGAGGAGGAGGATAACCGTGGCGGTGGCGGCCGCAACCGATTCCGAAAGCCGGAGGAGCAACATGACAACTATGGCGGCCAACCTCAAGCCCAGAGCAACCAGATGGCACCAGGTGGCATGACGCCGCAAGTCATGGCTCAATACTGGCAGCGCATGCAACAATACATGGCGATGATGCAGCAGCAAATGGCCATGGGTGCCGGACGAGGTGCCGCTATGAACCCGGCTATGATGAATCCGATGATGATGCAGCAGATGCAGGCGGCTCAGCAACAAAACGCTGGTGGTCGCAGCCAAAGCCCACAGGCTGGACAAAACCCAGCTATGGGAATGAACCCTGCGATGATGAACCCGATGATGATGCAGCAGATGCAGCAGGCCATGCAGGCTCAACAAATGCAAGGGATGGGAGGCGGCATGGGTGGCGGGAATGCCGGCGCTGCCGGTGCAGGAAACAACACTGGGTACAACGCTTACGAACAACAAGCTCTTGAGCAACAGAAGTATGAGCAGCAGGGTCACCGCGGCGGAAGACAAACTTCGCAAACCCCGGGGGGCCAACACTACAATGCCGGAAACAACTACGGTGGACAGAACCAGCCCACCAGCTGGGAGGGCATGTACGATGATGTTCCTCAACCCAATCCTGCTGGCGGTGCCGGTGGGTACAACAAGGCCCAAGGAAGGGGGGGGAGTGGAACGCCGAGTGGACCACAACCTGCTCCTCCAGCGGGAGCCCCGACCGGTCCAAAGAACGCCGGAAAGCCAGGAGCAAACTATCGCGGTGGCGGACGTGGCGGCGGCAGAGGCGGTTACCACCCGTACTCGAGATAAGTTAGTTGATGCCGTTCCCATCCCATCTGCCAGACATGGTCTGGGATCTATCACTTCGATTGGACATTTTCCCAGCCTTCAACCACCAAAGTCTTGCCTTATTTTATACTATGGCCTTTTATTTTGCTTTCGGTTATTCTCTTTTAGGGGTTTCCTTCTCATGGGAATCAAAGGAAGTTGGGATTATCCGGGTGGCGTCAACAGGCTGGCTTCTGCAGGACGCAGACTGTGTAATATAATCAACACCAATGAATCACAAATTTTAAATCACTCTTAAATATGACCTTGGCATTAAAGTGATACAATTGTAAACGATATTGTATTTCTAGATAGCATGCGTGTTCATCTTGGAGAACAGAAGTGAAATCTCACGTGACGTCAAATATATCAACATACACGCTAACCGCATCAAGACTAGATCCGTCCCCGCAGAAAACGGGCAACTGATAATCCAAATATTTTTTGTAAGATGCTTGCTTGATGCTCGTACCTTTGCGCCGACAACATATTCAAGCTGGGGCGACTCTCAACCAACTTGCAAAATGGCAGCCCCGATAACGAAGCTCCAGCAGGTGAAACTGCCCAGCGGTCCCTCGCCAATTACACCAGAACAACAATATTGGAAGTCATTTAGGTCGCAGCAAATCATCCCGTCCCCGACTTCATATCCTGTCACTCACATTTCTTTCCCCCCTCCTCCCAGCAACCCGCTGCTGCCCTCAAACAATGACTACTTCTCCGTCACGACCGGCACGCGCGTCCAGATTTACTCGATACGAACCCGAAAACTCATCAAGACCATAACTCGCTTTTCGGACATCGCTCACAGTGGTGAGATCCGCCGTGATGGCCGCGTTATGGTTGCCGGCGACGACAGCGGCAAGATCCAGGTCTTCGATGTCAACTCGCGCGCTATTCTCAAGACCTGGGAGGAGCACAAACAGCCCGTGTGGACGACGAAGTTCTCGCCCACAGAGCTGACTACTCTCATGTCTGCCTCCGACGACCGTACACTACGACTCTGGGATCTGCCCAGCGGACAGAGCACGACAAAGTTTATAGGCCATGGCGATTATGTCAGGTCGGCAGCTTTCATGCCGGGCATGCTGAGCAACATGCTTGCCTCTGGTTCCTACGATTCGACTGTCCGTATTTGGGATCCACGCACTCCTACTCGCGCGGCAATGACATTCAAGCACGCTGCGCCTGTGGAGGCCGTCCTCCCAATGCCCTCTGGAACGACTCTCATCGCATCCTCCGAAGCACAAATATCAGTCCTCGATCTCGTGGCCGGGAAACCGCTGCACATCATCAAGAACCACCAAAAGACTGTCACAGCACTATGCCTGGCGTCAAATGGCACACGCCTTGTTTCCGGTGCCCTTGATGGACATCTCAAGGTCTTCGAGACAACATCTTGGAACTCGGTTGCGGGGTCAAAATACAGCTCTCCCATCCTATCTGTGGCCGTCGTCCCATCTCCAGACCACCAAGACAAGCATCTTGCCGTTGGTCTCCAATCCGGCGTCCTATCCATCCGCACCCGCCTCTCCGGCGCCCAAAAGGTCAAGGAGCGCGAGCGTGAGAAGGAGATGGCTGCGCTCATTGCGGGCAATGTGGAGGAGTACGATAAGAAGAACAAGAAGCGGTCTCGTGGCGTAGAGAACAAACTTCGCGGCATGAAGTTTCTAGGCGAGGGCGCGGACGTCGTTATCGAGGGAAACGAGAAGCGTAAGAAGGGCGAAAGCCAGTGGGAGAAGAGCCTGCGCAATGGCCGCTACGGCGCGGCGCTGGATATGGTGCTAGGGAGCAACTTGCCGCCTGTGGTTGTGCTGTCTGTGCTTACGGCGCTGAAGCACCGGTCGGCGATGCGTGAGGCGTTCAGTGGCCGTGATGAGACGACCGTGATGCCGATTCTGCGGTGGGTCGCGAAGTACATTATCGATCCGCGGTATGTCAGCACGTGTGTGGATGCCGCCCTGCTTCTTCTGGATCTTTACAGCGAGCATGTGGGTGCGAGCGAGGAGCTGGAGAAGGGGGTTAAGTGGCTACATCGCCGCGTTAGGGCGGAGGTGGAGAGAGCACAGCAGGCATGTCAGACAGAGGGTATGTTGGGGATGCTGATGGCCGGACGGGCTGTGGCGGCTTGAGGCAGGGGCCCGGGTGATGATATTGCATGGATGGTTTGATAGCGCGGAGTTCGGTCTTTGCATATGAATGGGTTGGGTAAAATGTATATCGTGGTCTGGCGTTGGCGATGCGGATGGTGTGAATCTGTAGTCTAGATACTGGAGGGTTGATGTGGATACTTCATACCATACAATATATATATGCCTTCGTCCAACATTCATGTTGTCATTTGTGGCAAGACAGCTTCTAAAAACAAATGCCTGAAGACGCTAAACGCACTGCCACTCAAGGGAGAGATCACTTGCTATCCACTTGTTAGCCCGCCAGGCAGAGCAAGCCCTGATGTTGACGATAAAAGCTCGCCCTAACTCGCAAACAAATTATAAACTAGACTGTAATTCCAAAGGCATTACATAAATAGTACTGTTCTGCCCACCGCGGATTGCACTGGGCCAGCACTCGTTGACACGAAGTCTATCGCACAAACAAGAGATTTGGTCCCTGGGAACGAGGAGGCTTTGGTAGAAAGAGCTGTGGCACCCTATCTTGTTCTACCCCATAACACCCAAAACAAATATCAACGGATGACGGGTGTTGCTGGTAACGAGGATATACCGGTAATGGGAGAAACGATGGTAACAGCATTTTACGAACGGTGACAAGAATCACAGTAAAATTGGGTGTGGACATGGCAGCCACCTTCGAGCTCCGCCATGCAAAAGTTGAATCCACGATAGAAACGGAACCAACTCTATTGGAGCTCCGTCCCGAACGTGTTTTTGTTAAGAACGGCCAACCAGTAAGGAAAGGCATGGTGTTATATATAGCCCAGACTCAAGCTGGAAATATGCAGATATTCCATTTTATGTATCTACATAGATAGATATATGCATACAGATACCACCCCTAGCCCCCCATCTATTCTACCGCCCCTTGGGCATCTTCTTCTCCTCCAACTCCTCAATATCCTTCTTCTTATGAAAGTGCGGCGCTACTTCCGTGAGCCACTCCGCCTTAATAGGCAGACAACTCCTCATATACTCCTTCGTAGTCTGCACCAACTCATAATAAACCAGCATCTTAATCGGCGGATTCGAGTCCATCAGCACGCTGCTAGGATGGACATACACCGTATTATTATTCTTCACCGTCCTGTAGCTATCGCCTCCACGCTGCAGTCTCGCCGCATTAGGGAAGAACCCCGCCGTGATAGCCTTCGAGATCGGCACCAGATCCGCCGCGCCCACACTGCTGATGGTGACTTCAACACGCTCGCACAGCTTGGCAAGCTGATCGCGGACATCGCGAGCACGCGTCAGCGAGCGCTGCTGTAGGAAGTTCTCTTTACTCCAGATAGGGCTGAAATCGCTGTCAACCCACTGGTTCCAGATATTCAGGAGCGTGAGGTGATCGCCTCCTTCCTTGACGGTGAAGCGTGCGCGCGCGCTGTCAGCGTGGATTTTCTTATCTTTGGGGCGGAAGAATAGGGCCGAGGCTTCAGAAAGCATGGCGACTATGCTGAGGATCTCTTCGACACAGCCGAGTTTGTCGGCGGCGAGGATGGATTTCGCGAGCATGGGGTCGGTGGGGAACTCGGCCATCTGCCGACCGATCTTGGTGAGCTCGCCTTTGTGGTTGAGGGCTTGTAGGGCGAAGAGCTGGTTCAGTGCGCCGATTAGGGTTTCGGTGGGAGGGGGGTCCATGAATTCGAAGTCGAGGAGTGCGTGGATGCCTAGAGACTTTAGGAGGAGGACGATGTCGTTGAGGTTTGTGCGCTGGATCTCGGGAGTGGTGGATTCATCCATCTCGTTCATGAACGCCCATTTCGTGTAGAGTCTGAAGCACTTTCCGGGGCCGACACGACCGGCTCTCCCGCTTCGCTGGTTGGCGGAGGCGCGGGAGCAGGGCACTGCTACAAGTTTTGACATGCCAGTGACGGGATTGTAGATATTTTCCTTGACGAAGCCAGGGTCGATAACGTATACGATACCGTCGATGGTTAAACTCGTCTCAGCAATGTTGGTGGCCAACACAACCTTTCGGGCACCGTCGGGGGTTGGCTCGAAAATCTTGCTCTGTAACTCGGAGGGTAAGTTGGCGTAAATGGGACATATGACAAGCTCCGGCACTCTGCTGCCGAGCTTTCGAGAGATCTCCGTAATATTCAGTTCCGCAGCTTCAATCTCATCCTGACCAGTTAAGAAGACTAGAATATCCCCCTTCCCTTGAGTGGTGTGGATCTGAAAGACGGTGGTAATTGCTGCTGCCAAATAATTTGCTTCCGGCTGCGGTGTGTAATGGATATCGACAGGGTATCGTCGACCAGGGATGTTGAAAATGGGTGCGTCGTCAAAGTAGTCCGCAAATTTCTTTGCGTTCATAGTTGCAGAAGAAATGAGGAGCTTCAAGTCAGGCCTCTCTCTCGCCAAATCCTTAACCAACGCCAACAAAATGTCCGTGTGAACAGTCCGTTCGTGGGCCTCGTCGATCATGATGGCAGCATAGCCACCAAGATCTGGCTCCGTCATGAACTCTCGCAGTAACATACCATCAGTCATGTACTTCAGCACAGTCTTGTCGCTCGTCGAGTCCTCGAATCGGATCGAATAACCGACTTCGTTGCCAACCTTGACACCCATCTCATCAGCTACACGAGCGGCAACACTCATAGCTGCAACACGACGAGGCTGCGTGCATCCGACCTTCAGACCATCTTTCGTATATCCTGCTTCATGCAAGTACTGGGGCAACTGCGTAGTCTTTCCGCTACCAGTTTCACCGACAATGACAAGGATCTGATGCTCTTCCAAGGCTGCGAGAAACTCGTCCCTGTATACGTAGATGGGAAGACTTTTTCGAGTCTCTTCCATACTGAGGGCTCTCTTCTCTGCAGCCTTGAGCTGTTCGGCCAAGAATCTCTCTTCCTTCGACATGCCTTTGCCCTCGCCTGGCATTCTTTGATCCATAACCCATTTAATGCCTTGCTCTTCATCCAGGACATAGTCATATTCGCCTTGGTCTGTCCACTCTCTGCTTTGGACTTGAGCTTTGGCTTTGGTCGCTTGCTCCTTTTCCCACTCCTCGTGCTCCGTAACAAACTTTTCTTGGCCGTATTCGTCACGATCAACGTAACGCTTGTACATAGCCTCCTCTTTCTTTTTCCTGTCGATTTTCCCCTTCTCCGTGATATAGTCTTCTGGCATGGCATAGCCATCCAAATGGTCGTCGATACGCAACCGCTCTTCGGCGATCCGTAGCACTTCCCTATTCTTTGCGAATTCTGCCTTTTCCTTCTCAGACAACCTGACGCCGCTCCTCAGTTCCTCCGTCTCCTCGGAAACCTGTTTCCTCAGTAACGCCAATCGTTCAGCTTCTCTCTTCTTCAAATATTCCTGTCGTGACCTCTCCCTCAGATCTGGCAAGGCCGCACTTCTCGCCGCCGCATCCTCAGCCAACAGCCGCCGCTGCGCCAATATCTTCCCATCCTTAGTGGAAGACCTGTCCTCAACAAGTTTCCTCGTTTTATCATCATCCTTCTCCCTCAAACGTTTCGCAAACGCCTCCCTCTCCTCGATATCCTTTTGTCTCTCACGCTCCTCCTTGGCGCCTTCAGATAGATCCGCCTCATCAACATGATCCGTCTTCAACCGCTTCGGCGCCGACTCCTGGAATTCTTGTTGTTCCTCCGCAGAGTCGTATTCCTCGTCACCCCAACGATCCTCATAATTTTCATCCCCAGCAGGTCGTCGGATAGTTCTAGACTTGTGTTCGGTCGGACGCGGTGATCGTCGGCGGGGCGACTTGTCACGTCGTGGCGAGCGTTCGCGCTCTCGACTCCTGTCGCGACGGTCCCTATCGTGGCGTGAAGAAGATGATTTCTCGCCATCGCGTCGCGAGCGCTTCTCCTTCTTCTTCTCGACAACCTTGGCAGGACCCAATTCCTCCTCCTCCATGGGTAGGAGGGCGTATTTCTTGGTACTCATCGTTTGCGGTGTACTGGTTTCGCCTCTAAACAAAGCCTTGGACACAGCAAACTAATAAAGATTGCCTGCCCTGAAAGCCTGGAAAGAAGACTTGCAGTTGTCGTTGCTAAATGGTAATTTTGCTCTTGCGACACCTTGGGAGGCTAAGCAGCCTTGTGAGGCGCGACCCTTGCCAAGATCAAAATTTAAGGTGTGTTTGCTCTGTTTGCACTAATTTCCTTTATCAATTAATGGCGAAATAGCCACGTTGAGCATATCATAATCCGTTTGGAGTTTGTAAATATCTCACCCCACCGACACTCCTTTTGCAACCCATGTTTTCATGATTGCGGATTCTTTGCTATCTTATATTATATCGAGCATTGTACATTGAATTGATTGAGGACGTCAAGGGAAATCCACAGATATGTGGGTGCGGGCAGCTTTGCTGTTTGTCTGCTTCTTGCAGCTTGTAGCTTGCGCCGAGGACTTTTATAAGGTGAGTTAGGCTCTACCGTCGCTGCTATGAAGGAAACATAATCATTTACGAGGGGCATCACTAATGTGAATAGCTCTTGGGCATTGACAAGCAAGCATCTAAGAGCGACATCAAACGGGCATACCGATCTCTAAGCAAGAAATTCCACCCCGATAAGAACCCGTAAGTGCCTGCCCCTCCATTTGCAGCTATATTTTACATTATAGCATCAGCGTCTAACGTATGTCAGTGGCGACGAGACTGCAAAGCAAAAGTTTGTTGAAATCGCAGCTGCTTATGAAGCTCTATCCGACACCGAGACCCGCCAAATCTACGACAAATACGGCCACGAAGGCCTGCAACAACACGCGCAGGGTGGTGGCCACCAGCAACACCATGATCCTTTTGACTTATTCTCCCGATTCTTCGGCGGCGGTGGTGGTGGCGGCTTCGGAGGCCACGGCGAGCGCCGAGGGCCAGATATGGAAGTGCGCATTGCCGTTCCTTTGAGGGACTTCTACAACGGGAAGAAGACAGAGTTCCATCTCGAGAAGCAGCAGATCTGCGACGAATGCGACGGAACTGGCGCAAGTGACAAGCAACTAGATGTTTGCGGAGAATGCCACGGCCATGGGGTAGTCATCAGGAAACACATGCTTGCGCCGGGTATCTTTCAACAGATGCAGGTCCGTTGCGATCACTGCGGTGGTCAAGGAAAGATTATCAAACATAAATGTACGGTTTGCGACGGCTCGAGGGTTGTGCGCAAGGTTAATGAGTTCACGTTGGATATTGAGAAGGGTGCGCCGGTTGGACACCGTATACGGTACGAGAATGACGCGGATGAGAGCCCTGACTGGGTTGCCGGCGACCTTATAGTCACATTACACGAGAAGGAACCGGATCTTGATGTTGATAACGAGCTGAAGGTTGATGGGACATTCTTCCGTCGCCGTGGTGATGATCTATACTGGAAAGAAACCCTCGGCTTAAGGGAAGCATGGATGGGTGGATGGACGCGCAATGTTACTCATCTCGACGGACATGTTGTCCAACTCTCGCGACCACGAGGCAAGGTCGTGCAGTCCGGTACAGTGGAGACTGTGAAGGACGAAGGAATGCCGATATGGGACGAAGATGGAGACAGCGTTTACCACAAAACAAAGTTCGGCAAGCTATTCATAGAGTATACCGTTGTGTTACCGGATCAGATGGAGAAGGGAATGGAGAAGGACTTCTGGGCTCTGTGGGAGAAGTGGAGGATGAAGAAGGGTGTGGATTTGGGGAAGGATTCAGGAAGACCTGTGAAGCCGGCCGTGAAGGATGAGCTGTGAGGAAAGAGCCTACCATGGCTTATGTATAGAATACCAAGTATAACCTATGGGAAGAATAGATTCCTTGATCTCTTGGATCATGTTTACATCATGTTCAGCGGCATGAGAGATGTATTTGTAGTATTCTGGTTGAGGAGCAGGGTATATTCCCGTGACTTGAGATTTCAAGCCTTTTTAAGCCTCGAATCCAAAGGTAGTCGAGGTTAAGTAGCCTTATGGGCGGGATAAACGTACTGTACAAGACAATGATGTGCATCGGTATAAAGTGGCGAACCAGCAGCGGCAGCTAATCAAGCTGACATGAGCAGGAGCCCCGATCGCCAATTCGCTCAACTGCCGCCCGTGCTTATGTAAGCGGCATACGATTCATTGTCTTACCAGACTTACCAGACGGCGTGTCAGTACCACTTCCTTCCATAGGCCATATTCTCAAGTATTCGCTATTCTTCAGGGTCTGTATAGTTCATGCGAACTATGTACACGTTCTTAGACTGAGTTCGAAGACTGGGTGGATATACAGACAAGAACCGTCGTTTTGATCAGCTGCGACTTTTTCCAGACGTCACCCGGCAGGCCCGGATTATCACAAAGGCAAAGAGGCAAGGGACGTTTCAACAACACAATCACAACGCAGAAACACCAAATTTGCGATCCTCACCTCGGAATACTGTTTGTATTATAGCCCGCATAATACAGGCCGTCTCAAAGTCCCTTGCGGCAGTTGACTATACATAAGAACGACTCCCACGGGAATTGACACCGATACCGCCGCCGTCTTACTACTCGGACGACTCGGACGATTTGGCCGAACCAGAATTTTGCAGACGAGAAATACTATTCCGCATTTATAGACTGCAGGTCCTATGAGACAATATCCCGCCTAGATGCTATATTCCACGCTGCGCATCCTTGCGCTGTCTGCTGGCGTGATTGCTTCTGCTCAGGCGCTAGAACAAGACCACTTCGACACCCCGATCCACCCGGAATGGCTGGACGGTCATATGCCAACGGGGACAGCCGGCGATGGGAAGATTCAAAAAGATATCCCGAGCTATGTGCTTGAGTACGCACCCCTGGTGCATCTCGCCGAGGATGAAATACATTGGCCTAGTGTGATGGACGAGCATTTGGTCCACACAAAACCATATGTGGATTTCAAGCCCGTGCCAAAGGATGAACAGCATCCCACAGTGTGGGACTTGGGAGACCTTAACAAACACGATGGTGGCCTTCACATCTATCTCCAGAGCCGGGACGATGTAATGACGAGCCCGGCCTGGATGCTGAGCGCGCATAATATGCCCGTACCGCCACCTGCCACCCCAGAAGGTAACGAGACCGATTCAGCTGCGCCAAAGGGTGAGGGTAAGAGGGGCGAGAAGAGGAAGAAGATTAGCAAGATTGGCGGGCGGAGTCCTGCGCCTGTCGTTTTGACTGTGGTTGATAAGGGTGATGGAGTCATACTTGCATTTTGGTTCTACTTCTACAGCTACAACCTCGGCAACAGTGTCTTCGGGGTTGGCTTTGGCGACCATGTTGGGGATTGGGAGCATAGTGTGATGAAATTCCGAAACGGGGTTCCAGAGACGATGTTTCTTAGCCAGCATACCGGTGGGCGAGCCTACACCTTTGGCGCCATGGAAAAGTATGGCAAGCGCGTAAGTCACCCACCTACTACCCCTGAAATAGTATAACGGCGACTAACATTTCACAGCCCGTAATCTACTCTGCCAAAGGCAGCCATGCCCTCTATGCCACACCCGGAATCCAGGCGTACATCCTCCCCTTCGCCATCCTCCACGACACAACCTCCCACGGCCCTCTCTGGGACCCAGCTCTAAACGTCATGTCCTACCACTACACCTCTCCCGAAGACCACTCCGACGTCGGCGACAAAATGGTCAGCGAGCCTTCCACCTCCGCGTCAGTCACCGACTTCACCCCTGGCATACTCACGCCCAGTCTCCAGAACCCCAACGCGCCCACCAGCTGGTTCTACTACGGCGGCTACTGGGGCGACAAAGGCTACCCCTCCAACGACCCGCGCCAATACCAAGCCCCCATAGTCGGCGAGCGCAAATTCGTCGACGGCCCCTTCGGTCCACGCTTCAAATCCATAGGCCGACACGACGTCTGCCTGAAGAAAGGCCCCTGCGAGGTCAGCACGACGATCGCGCCGCGCCTGTGGCTGCTCAACTGGCTGTACAACTGGGCGTGGGTGTGTGGCGGGTTCCTGGTGCTGGTGGTGGTGGGGATTGCGGGGTATACGGTGGGGAGACATGTGAAGTGGGGACATACGATGTTGGTGCGGATTCGGAGGGGGAGGGGGGAGAAGAAGGTGCTGGAGGATGTGGAGAGGAGTCCGTTGTTGAGTGAGGCGACGAGTGAGGCGGAGGATGGGGCGGAGCCGAGTGTTGTGGCGTTGGATGTTGAGGGGGGGAGGGCGGTGACTTATGGGACGATAAATGCGACGGTGGTTGAGGGTGCTGATAGAGCCGGATAGAGAGGGGTGATAGAGTTGGGTATGATTTGGGATTTGGACACTTAGATTGAAGGAGTTGGGAAGAATCAGTGTTCCCCAAATAGTACTCGAATACTATTCGGCATTTGCCCGAATACTCTGGCTCTGATAGTATTCGCCGAATACTCGTACGAATACTCGCCGAATAGTATTCGGCGAGTTAATGAGGCTCAACTGTAGTATAGTATAATATAGTAATTGAAATATGATAACTCTGTCTACTCGCTATCGTCGTCCTCGTCGCCTATAACCCCCCAATCCCGTAGGCAGAGTAGATATCGAAGAGTAGAAGGCAGTAATCTATTCCTTTTCTTAGTGACTATATCACCGCCGACACTAAATATGCGCTCTGACGCTACCGATGAGGCTGGAATTGCTAGATAATCCCGTGCGATCCGTGATATAACCGGATACTGAAACTGCTTTGCTTGCCAATATTTGAGAATATTAGTATGGCGGTCGACTCCGCTCTCTTTAAGCCATCGTCGCCACTCAACTTCCTCAATTAAAGGCCTATGATGCTGATACATCTCGTCGTCGGAATCAAGCTCTCTTAGGGTTGTTATCTGCTCTGTTTCGGCGGCAATAGTAGCTTCAATGGCGGTAACCTGTATATCATTCTCACGGTCTTTATACCGGTTAAAGCAAGCTGCGAACTGCGCCCTTGCCCTATCTCGTTTTATAGCGTCTACGCTATTTGGCATATAAAATTCGTATATACTCAAGTTGAATCTTAGGTCGCAGATAGTAGCAATTAACGAGTGGCTTGAGCCTTAATTTGTTATAAGGTTATAGTAAGTATCAAGCTTACTATATGACGCTTTACAAGCTGTGCTAATTGCTGCTATAGTCGATGGAGCGATTTCCATTGCCTTAAGCTTATTTAAAAGCCGTAGATAGTGTGGAATATAGACGTTTAACGTTGGATAATTATCAGCTTGAACTTGCTCTACAGGCTTGACGAATATCTTAAAGAACGCCTTGAGTCCATGTAACACTTGCCATTCTATCGATGTAATGATAATATCACGCATACTTAAATCCATCGTTTGCGAAGCACATAAAGCATTGATTGGCTGCTCAAGCTTTAAAGCGTTCTCAAGCATATGATATGTTGAGTTCCATCGCACAGGCATGTCGAGGGACAGAGAAACCACCTAGATACCCATAGTAGATGCTTGCACTTTCAATGCATCTTTCTATGCTCGACGGTTCCGGAAGACATAGATATGTCGGCGTAGTTTTATAAGAACCGTTGCTACTTCATCTCTATTAGGAACGAAGCCTTGAGTATGAGCAGAGCCTTGCTTAAGCCTATATGATTCCGTTTGTTCTGATGGCACAGCTTTTAACATAGTTAAAGCTGCTTGAACCGCAAGGTTTATAATATGTGCCATGTATCGAACGTCGCCTTCCTTTACTGTAAAGCTCCATGGTTGCTGTATAGAAGCGATATCCGTACATACCCCTATTTCAAACTCTGCAAGCATTGCTGTATTATTCGATGCGTTGTCTCGAGTAATCGTAAAGACTCCATTTGTAATACCAAAGTCGTCGGTGATAGCTTGAAGCTGCTCTGCAAGATATTCACCTAAATGAATAGGCTCCTTTAAATGTATGATATCAAGAACACAGTGCTAGTGAACCCATTCGTTATTAATCTAATGAACAGTTATCGTAGCGTGCTCTGCGCCATTCATTGCTGACCATGAATCAGTCGTAAGTGATAACCGTCCACCCTTTATAACATGAGCCTAGAGTTCTATTTGCAGCTTCATACGGTAGTTGCAGAATGTCTTATGTAAATCGCGCATTAAAGAGCTCGTTGATAGAACTAACGTCGAAGGGCTAAGCTGGTGAACAAGCTGTCGAAACGAAGGCCGATCAACTAGACTCATTGGTAAGTTATTAGATACAATAAATGCAAGTAATAACTCTCGATATCGAGACGCACAAATTGGATTAGATCCTCCTACTCGAGGAGTAAAGAATCTGTGGGCGTTTTGGACTTTTCTCATATTCTGAGCGCCCTGCGAATCCTGCGAACTCTGGTCCTGCGAACTCTGGTCCTGTGAACTCTGGTCCTGCGAACTCTGGCTCTGCGAGCTCTGGGCACGTTGTAGTAATGGAGGTCCTGGTTTTATAGCTTCAAATAATGTAGGATGCATGCTCTAGACATGCCTCCATAAATTACTCGTGATGTTCCATGATAAAAGCTTCGGTTTTGGCTTATAATTACAGCCATCTTGCATGCAGACAATCTTCATTGTTACAGGGCTAGTGCTTAACAATGTTCTACTAAATACATTCTTTAGGAATAGCGGTGACTGAGTATTTGGAAGCCGTGGTTGTATTTGTAGTAATGGTAGAGCTATCGATGGCGAAGACTCTAACGGAAAAGGGGTTGGTAGGTGCTGTATATCTTCATCTTCGTCACTTAGAGCCGATAGCTCAGAGTCGCTCATTCTAGCCAAAATATCGAGTATATTGATTAGATCTATTTCTACGGACCTATCTAATTATGAGGGCGGGGTAGAATTTTCATTACTTGGCATCCTTGGCATCAATTGCCAAGGACTCGAATAGTATTCGGGTCCTTGGCAAATACTCGCCGAATACTTCAAATTTACGCCGAATACTGCTCATCGCCGAATACTATTCGAAAATCACAAATCCTCATACTATTTTGGGGAACACTGATTTCCGAGCGCGAGCGAAACTTGTCGAATTCAGAGGGGCTACGGCTCTTATGCCGTGCCCCGGAGCTATTCTCCATAAGAACGACACTAAAATGACTAAGTTTCACTCCGCAGTTGCCTGATTCTGCAGGCCATAATTACATGGGTTATTTACTCATATCCGCCACGTTATATAGAATAATTAGAAAGGCTGAACTAACTAGACATTTAATTTTTAATTGATCTTTATTTTATTTAAACTTCTACTATAGGCGTTGAATAGCCCTTTCGCCGAAAAACCCTTCTAGAGCCAAGTACCTAGCGGGCAACTTGTCACAGGGCGCCATACGCACCGAGGCATCATCTGCCGCCTCCTCCACCTCGTGGTATCAATCTTATGTGCCGCTAAGAAGTGTCTGAAGGTCCACTGGAAGAGTGATGGTGTGGCTCTTGAGTGCTGCCTCCTAAAATTGATATCCGTTAGCATGTGGTCATCCATAAACTAGCTGGGTTGGATGGACGTACGAAGTAAGGAAGGTGGACGCCATTGTAGACCGCTGTCTGCCCCACGATGATCATGTTGACTATGCCGGTCTTAGAATTTACGCTGCCGAGCACAAGTGCCTGGTCAACGATAGCCTTTATGGGGAGCAAGTTCTGTCCTGGCTTCAAGATGAAGTTTTCGATGGTGCTATTGCCAATGAGACCCTTCTCCTTTGTGGAGATATTCATTACGACTGTTCCCTGTATTTGTTTTAGTTGCTGTAACAATGATGGGGAACGGAGACACGTACAAGCTCGACGGTCAAAACAGAAGGGTTTGGAATAAGTGCCATCCCTAACAAGTTGGGCTGTCCTGGCTCGGCCAACAAGTCGATCTTAGGCTGGGTAATGTTGAAGCCCTTGAAGCCGTTGAGTGCTATATTAATTAGCTCGGGGTTCGGAAGTGGAGAGCAATGCGCTACATACCCTTAAAAGTAATGGAGGAGTTGTAGGTGACGCTGTTGACAGGCAGAGCGCCTAAGTGCAGCTTGGTCTTGCCCTCCATTATAACTGTGATAGACTCCTGCGTCAAGACTTGCTTGCAGAACTCAGTGACCTGGTCTATGTCGACAATCTTTGTTTCCTGGTCGTTGATGATGATGCTGGTGCCTGGGTGTTGGGCATGGACCTGGGGCATCCTGAGCTGTGTTATCACCTTGTCGTGCCTGACCCCATCTTTTACGAGGTGCATGCTGACGTTGAATGCATCCAGCGTTGGGGTGAACGGGCTGTCGCTGTGCTGGACTGCATCGACAGAGACGGTGAGGGTATCCAGCGTTGGCTTCATGAACTTTAGGCTATTGTAGCTGAGAGTCGCATCGTCAATGCCCTTTTGCGCAATCTTAGGCATTGCCACATATACTCTACAGGGCTTGTATAAGTTTCGAGGACGCGTCAAAAGAGGAAGTGTAACTCACAGGCATAATGCTATTATGAGGAACCCAGCGCAGAATGCGATGAGATGCGCCCACCAAAATCGCTTGAAGTGATTCTTGACCTTGCCTCCAGTGGTAAGTTTCGCTTGGTAATTCTCGATCTGTTCCACCTCACCACCCCCTTTCCGCTCGCTGGACGACTCGTTGCCCCTAGACATTCTGGCGACTGACTGAACGAGTGTAATGTTAATGCAGTGCTTAGAGACTGGTAACCAAAAATGCGAAGGAAAGGATGTGCAGTGTCGAGGACTTAACTTTATAGAGAGATGGCAAGCAGTTTAAAGGCAGATCATATCAATGGGGAATAAGGGCACGATACAAGGATCCGAACCAATGTACACCAACTGATGGTGTGCGCTAGTTGCGGGGAACTTGACGCCGATGAAATCGAGCCAGGCCCGCTATCATTAGGGATCTACATTCCCCGCGCTATTCCCCACAATGTTTCGGGGGTGGTGTCTCAGCTAGAAGATCATAGGGGTAGCCGTGGTGCTGCCAGGGATCGCTGAGATGTGCGGTTGACATGTGCTTCTTATTATCGTGACGCTTGGAGCAAGTATGGGCAAAGCCGAGTTTATCGCAATACCAAAAAGACAAACTCTCCCCGTTGTTTCAAGATCCCAAGCCCTATCGTTGAGCATGTGAATATCTTCTGGCTGATGCCATTTCTGGAATTGGTTTCTGATCTGGCGCCATAGTGGCCTTCAAACAATATGTATACCCCACCATTCCAGGCTCCTTGGTCCCATAGTTGAGTGAATATCGCGGGGAGAGTTGTATCTGGCGAGTTATTCAATCTTACTACGCCCAACGCTTAGAGGCCATGACCGGTACGAGATTGAATAACTTTTACGAATCCGAAACAGAACCCGAGCCAAGATCTATCCCTGAGACAACTTTGAGCTTGATTGATCACATTTTATATATTCTAGTTCTAATCTAATGCCATAGCGGCCATCTAACTACGGATACAGACCACGCCCAGTTATCGGGTCCAATGCAACAGCATTATGGCCACCTTGTATCAAAAGTAAATCGTAGAGCCAAGAATAACCAAAAGAACACCTAATATATACCTGTATAATGATTCCTGAGACTATTCTTTTGGTTTCGAAGTGGAGGGGCTCAAAAGCAAAGTCAAGAACTGAGGGGAGGTTCGGACTCGGCGCGATTCGGAGAAGTTGACGGCTCGGACCGACTCAAAACAGGGTTCAACACAAGGATAGTTTGACGCCTCAGACCGAAATCGTCGTAACCGCCTGTTCGCTTGGGTTACGGCGATAACGTCCCATCGTTTGAATTTCGGTTTCCTAATCCTTGTCAAGTTTCTCCATTCGTTTCGTGGCTGGCTGTCACTGTTTGGGAAGGGCTGTCTACAACGAGGAGAAGGACGCTGGCGCCTCAAGTCGATTTTTGTGGATTTTATTTTACCAGAGATAATCAAATACCACGAAATATCCGTAAATAACAACATCGTGACGTTTCACAGTACTCATTCTCTAGACGTGACCTCCTACAGGCGCAAGACAACACATCCGCTTGGAGGTTGGCTGCGCAGTGAAGCGAATTGAGTCCAAACGCCGCACACAAGCAAGCCGTTTCTTCCACGCTTCAGAGAAGGCCACTCCACAAGGTTTTATGAACACATGTTAGCAACTCGTCCCATGACCTCTTTTATCTCCAACCGTATTGCCGACGGAAATCTCGCTCATCCGCTGGAGGCCCTCAGCTGAACATGCGGGGCTTCAAACGGTTTAGTCCCTGCCTAAGCGCACCCCGTCTTCATCAGCTAAAGATTATGCTGGTTACGCCACCACATACAAGTCGTAAGGCTAAGCCATACGATTAAAATTATGATCATTTAAAAAAACATTAGAAGTAAGTACCTTTCTATGGAAAGTTTTGTGTAGAGTGATATTTTGCCGGTTACGCCACAACCTACGTTATGTCGCTGCCACACCTACAGCCGTACCCTTCAATACTGATATTAATGCATCCTGATCAACCTCCTCATCCAATGAACCCAAGTAATAAGTCATATCGCTGCCATCAATCTCTTCCAGAGCAAAGCCGTTTCCGAGGAACGAAAACCTATTATCATCATCATACTTCATGTAGAAGTCCTCAAATCTAGGGTCCTTCAAGAGTCTCAGGAAGGACACTCGACTACCAGGGTAGATTGTTGGTATGCTGCCTGGTTGTCCGTTTTTGAACCAGCTCGAGCATGGATCTGTCCAAGCTGTGCGTTTTAAGAACTCGGCTGAGTGCTTTATAAAGTCCTGGGTGACCTCTCGTCTTGGGTACAAAGATCGAATGCCGTCGACTTGCATCTTGATGATGACTTTGATGATGTAGTCAGTGTACTTCTCGATAACTGGGAAGAAGCTTCCATGTGCGAGAGGGCCGTATGGACCACAGAAGGAGAAGTAGTTGGGGATTTCTGGGACAGCAACACTAAGGTATGAGAGAACGCCCTCGTTAGTCCAGGTGTCACGCAGGTCAATACCATTGACGGTGAGAGGGAATCGGGGGATCCAAGAGGTGTCGAAACCAGTTGCACAGACTATCGCGTCAACCTCATACTCGGTTCCCGTGTGATCGACGAAGCCTGTTGGAGTGACCGCCTTGATAGTCTGGGTGAAGCAGGTCGTTTTCTTGCCCGCCAACGCCTCCAAGTAACCATTTCCAGGTGTGGGACGTCGGCACCCAACAGCAAAGTCCTTCGGGATGATCTTCTCAGCCAACTCTGGATCTTCTACCATTCTCCTCCTCATTTCCTTGTCCGAGTAGTCTTTGGCGACTTTGGCATCATCACTTTTCTTGATGATGAGGCTAAAACGTTGATTTAATTCCTTCTCAATCATCTTTCGATATGCCAGGTATTTGGCCGGGTCGGTCTTCATGAGCTCCTTTTGCTCTTCGCTATCTTTGAAAAGTTAGTCTTCAAACCACAGAATCGGACAGAGAAAAGCTTACAGTAGAAGTTTCTGCCATCTTTACCCGCGAAGTCTTGAGCAAATCCAGCTGTAATCCATGTTGGACTTCGTACCCAGGTATAAAGATGGTCTAATCTCTCGTAGAGGGATGCCACAATTTGGACTCCACTGCTTCCAGCGCCGATCACTGCAATCTTCTTACCGGTGAAGTTATAAGATTGGTCCCAGGTTGCAGAATGCATGAGCTTCCCCGTGAAGTCATGAAGGCCTGGAACAGTAGGCCACTTCCACTTACTATTTGTGAGTTAGTAATGGAGTTGCAAATGAGCGGTTATTCCATACTTTAAAACACCACCTCCGTTGAGAAAGACATCACAATAGTCGGTCTTTTCCTCCCCAGTTGCGATGTCCTTTACTGTCAACTTCCATTTGCCTTCTTCGTCTGTCCACGCCGCACCAACAATGAGATGCCTTAATTTGACGTACTTCTCGATGAAATTGTTTTCTTCCTCGATCGACTTGAGGTATTCCCAGATCTCTTGTGATTCAGAGTAGTATTTCGACCAGATTGCAGGCTTCCAGGAGTATTGATAGTTGACGCTAGGAATATCGCAAGCGCAACCAGCGTAACGGTTCTCTAGCCACGTTCCTCCGATGTCATCGTTCTTCTCATAACACACAATATCGACATTCTCCAGCTTGTCCTCTGCCAGTTTGAACAGGTTGAGTCCTGAGATACCGGCCCCCATTATGACCACACGCATGTGCTTTTTAGTTCCAAATGGCTGTTCACGGATGGTGTATGGGAGACTCCCCGTCGTCGTCGCTGGGATAGGGGCGTCGGTCTGCCCAGCTCTGTTGCAACTGGCATTCGTAGTGGCTTGGGAATTTATAAAGTCATCTAACAACATTGATGGTGCCATGATGAGAATGGAGGGTATTCGCGACAAGAGAAAACTTTAAAGGATTGAGATTGTGTCGTCTTTTCCCCGTCGACAAGACGTCGACTTTTAATAGGGGCTGCCACATTGCTGCAGAATTGTGGCAAGATGCCCATCATCAAATCCCCTTATTGCACTCGCCGAATGATGTCTCCGTGGGTACTTGCAGCTCATCGCATGTTCCAGCCCGTGGAATAGCTAATCACACCTCGGATGCAATATTGCCGACTTCAACATCCACCGGAAGCAATCCCACCGGAACTCGGAATTGTAAAACTCAAGGCTGCCAATCGGGGTGATGGTGGGTCCGGTGGGTCACCAGGGTGTCAAGAAATGCTCTGTCATATGCCGAAATGGCAGAGGGCAGGCACTTGAAAACGACTACACTAAGTTGAAGACAAACTGTCGAAGTCACCCCCCACACTCGATCCCCGTTAATCAGGCAGGTCAAAGACGTAGCGAGCATGCGAGCTACCTCATAAGGCTGGTTTGCCTTGTTTAAATAACGCAAATTCCTACTAATCACAAGATGATTCATTAATCCAAGAATGACGCATGTGCGGGGGTAGCTCATAAGGTAGAACTTTCTTCTTTCTTCTCCTTCCATGAGGGCATTTAAACATCAAGCAAAAAGGTCAGCATCGCCATGGATTCAGTACTAGCGCCAAAGCCATCAGTGCTAGGCCTGCGGGACCCTTCACTTCTAGTAACCGATGGTCTTGTCGCTGGACAATGGAGAACTGGAGCATCAGGAAAGACTTTTTCAGTCACTGAGCCATCTTCCGGCGAAGAGCTGTCACGTTGTGCCGACCTCGCACTGCTTGACTTTGTAGAGGCCATCGACAGCGCATACATCGGATATCAGAAATTCTACAGCTCAACAACAGCAAAAGAGAGAGGCGGCCTTCTGAGACGGTGGAATGACTTGATCCTTGAGAATGCTGATGATCGTATGATTCTCGATAGCTGCTCTCAATATCATGTCTAATGTCTAACAGTCGCTATTATCCTTTCTTCAGAAAACGGCAAGACCTTGGCAGAGGCCAAAGGAGAGGTCTCATATGCTGCCTCTTTTGTCGCGTGGTTCGCAGAAGAGGCCACTCGATCATACGGCAATACTATTCCCTCGTCATATCATAATACAACAGTCCTGACGTTCAAAGAACCAGTTGGAGTCTGCGGGATAATCACCCCATGGAACTTCCCAGCCGCAATGATCACTCGAAAAATTGCTCCCGCTTTTGCAGCAGGATGTTCGGTTGTTATCAAGCCACCGAGTGAGACCCCATTCAGTGCGCTCGCGCTCGCAAAGTTGGCCTTGGAAGCAGGTATTCCAAGCTCCTGCTTGCATGTGGTTCCTACAAAAGACCACAACGCCTCTTTGGAACTTGCTACCAACCCGAAGGTCAAGAAGTTGAGCTTTACGGGCTCCACAGGGGTTGGCAAGATGCTCACAAAGCTTGCGGCTGGAACGATGAAGAAGGTCAGCATGGAGTTAGGTGGAAATGCGCCATTCGTGGTCTTTAGTGATGCTGACTTGGACCTTGCGGTTGATGGCGCCATGATCTCAAAGTTCAGGTCTACTGGTCAGACCTGTGTTGTGAGTGTAATCAGCAGTTCTATCCAAAGCTTCTCTCAGTGTGTTCCTGTTTTCTAATACTTGTGGAAATATAGTGCGCAAACAGGTTGCTCGTTCATAGCTCTGTTGTCGGCGAGTTTACGAAGAAGCTCGTTGCTAAGGTGGAGAGCTTAAAAATTGGACGGGGCTTAGATAGTAGTACCACTCAGGGGCCTCTAGTTAATGCTTCCGCGGTTGCCAAAGTCGAGGAGCACGTACAAGACGCCGTCTCGAAGGGTGCAAAGCTCCACACCGGTGGAAAGAAACCAGCAGGCTTGAAGGGATTCTTCTACGAGCCAACCGTTCTGACTGGAGCAACCACAAAAATGAACGTGGCCTACGAAGAGACGTTCGGACCACTCGCGGCTATCTTTGCGTTCCAAACCGAAGAGGAAGCGCTTGCGCTTGCGAATGATACAGAGTTCGGACTTGCGGGCTACTTCTTCAGCAAAGATATTGGCAGAGTCATGCGCGTTGCGCAGAGAATGCAATGCGGCATGGTTGGAGTGAACACAGGCCTCATCAGTGCCGCGGAGTCGCCTTTCGGAGGTATCAAAGAGAGCGGTGTTGGAAGGGAAGGAAGCAAGTACGGCTTGGCTGAGTACCAGAACATCAAGTGCGTCACAATAGGCAACATCCATATGTAGAGTTATAAATTTGCGTATGAATTCTTACCATACTATCCATGGCTTTGCGGTTGGAAGCACATCAGAAGCAAGAAGACGCCAACGCCTGTGATTCGGGACTTCCTTCCACGGCCGAAACGGACGCGCGCTAACTGGTCTGTGCACCAGGGTTAGAACACCAACGATTCTAGGAGAGAATGCTTACACACCGCAGCACGGGAGTTCAAGCAGCCCATTCGGTCATCAGACTGAGATTTATACCGCGGTAGATCATGAGAGCGATCGAGTCAGGATCATTACCTGTGATCTAAGCCGCCGTTGGTGAATTCGAGCATGGTTTCTGGCCTCCCTTACGCCGATGCAGCAATTATTGACCCTCTTCTCCTCTCTACCTTGTCGTATGCCTCGGACCATCTAAGCGATGCAGCGTATCAAACAAGCCTTGCATACGAAAGCTGAAGAATTTGCTCACAGCCATAGTCTCAGCAGGTCGTTCGAAGCTCTCATATACGGCTGTGTCATTTGAAGGAAACAGGACACTGTAATCAAGGTCTGGTAGGAAACCTTGACGGCTGGGCTTCAGAATCTGCGCAAAGGTTTCGAGCTCGCTTTTGATGTGGTAAGCTACTCTCCCTGACCAGACTTGCACTGGGTTATTCACCAGCAACTCCCGAACGGATTTTGCTATTGTCGCTACCGCCCCAGCTTAGAGATGTGGAATGTTCTCTAGGAGAGGATGCGGCGCGCCAATGCCTTCGGTGTCGGCCGGCTCTATCGGTCTTGGAGAGAGAAAAGTCACCAGAGTCGAGGTATTTACGCTCTCCGTGGTGGTCGGACTTTCATGCGGGGAGGGAGCTGAAATCCCTACCGAAGGTTTGACACAAAGGAATTCCAGAAATTAAATTTGCCAAAAGGCCTATAGTTAGCCAAATGTAGTATTATTGGGGATTCATGTCCCAAAACCACGTCTGCCCGCTGTCGTTGAGGCCTCCGTAGGAGCCACTAATAATGTTGCCATTCTGCCATCGTCTATCGGAGGATGTGTACTTTGCGACATATCCTGGCCGAGCGGCAAATTCGACGAATATTGCCCATTCGAAATGCTGGTCGAGGAAGGATTTCCGTTCTTATCTTTGGCGAAGTTGCCTTCGAAGTTATTGAGAATCACTAAGCGTATCAATAATTAGCTGCTTTACGAACGGATCGCAAAAACTTGCCCTGTGGGACTGATTGCAAGCTTTCGTTGAAATCCGTCTCGCTCAACGCAGCAGTAGGCATATCGTAGGCAATGTCCTGGTTATCGTAAAACCCTTTTATTGACTTGTTCGGAAAGTCCATCCTGTCCTGGGTTGCCATGGCACCGCCTGAGGGTTGTCTGGCCCCCAAATAAACGCCAACAGATCTCGTCGGAGTTCCATGTGCTGTTAGAAGTTCTTCATAATTTTCCGTATCTTCTTCTTTGGCTAACAACTCTTTCATCTCGTTTGACATTATTACGCTAACCAATGCTTCTAAGATCTTACCACTCTGGGCAGAGAGTAACGTGCGATGCCCAAGAGCTTTTGTTATGCATATGACCCGCGCTAAGGCCATCTTTCCCTCCTGCGCTTGAGACAACAAAGGCTGCGACAGCGCCATCAAGCTCAGCATTATACCAGCCGTGAACAATTGGATACCAATATACGCGGCGGCATGGGTGTCTTTCACAGCTCTCAGAACATCAAGGTGATCAACAATGTTGGCTGTACGAAGAGCAGACTCCCAGCACTGCGCTTTACTAATCGCAAAAGTCCTCGGACTTGGAGAGTTTGGATCATGGGAGGCGTCGTTCTCGCCCAGAGGTGTTTTGAGGATCTCTATTTGCGATTGCCTCAAGAGTTGGGAATTGAATTGCAGTAGAGGCCGGTGTAGGAGGATCTGTAAGTTGTCGTAGGCAAGCTGAAGGGCAAGGGCTTGGAGCCTGAAGGTCTTCCTAATTGTGTCCGCGGGCTGCTGTGACCACGAGCTCTCCCTTTTCAAGAGTAATTCGTCCGGCAAGCTTTCATGCCATGTGAGCAGTCTCTCATGAAGGGATTGTATTTTTTCTATCACCTGGGCCGCATTGCCACCCTTGATGAAGTTTACATCCAAAATTGGCGACGCGATGCTGTAAAGTTTGAACTTGAATCTTTGATATGAAAATGTTGTGACCGCTTCCACTCTGCCGTTATCAAGCTGCTCGACCGAATGAAGGTCCGGATGCGGGTTGGCAGCATCATCGAGTGTTTCAAGGCTAGAGACTTGACAGTCTATATCGTTGATCGAGCACGGTCTTCCCCATGCGATAGATGCGAAGCTGAGGGCACGTAGTGTTAAAAAGTATAAATTAAATACAAAGCTGAGGTGGTACAAACCGGTCAAAGACATAAAGAGCCCACCAAACCCGTTTTTGAACTTCTCTAGTAACCTGAGAGGAAGGTCGATATAGTGCCTCCTTGTGTAATCCAATGGCCTGGGCTGCTTTAATTCCGCTCCCCAGGACTACAAATGCCAGATTTGGTTGGGCATTGTACATGTAAAAAGACCCAAGCAGAATACAAATCTGAACTGCCTCTATTTCGGGTCGGTCGAAAACATCAAAAATATGCTCTTGAACCTTGGTTATCAGAATCGATTTCAGCTGTTCCAAATCAAGGGCCGGAAACAACTTTCGCGCCTCCTCCGCTGTGCAATATCTTGCTGTTTTCATTAAGTCAGGTATAGTTCGTTCGGAGGTGCATGGGGCGGAATTACCTCCCATAGCAGAAATTACAGCCAACAGAACGACAAACCCAAGGCGAGATGGGGGAGCTTGACGACTTTTGGTAATCTCTTCATATTCTTCCCGAAATGTCGGCTCGTGGAAAACCATCATGAACCAGTGAACGGAATCAATATACTTGTTCAACAAAAAGTCTGTAACTTTTTTTTGCGGAAGGTCGATCCCGAGAAGCATGGCGATGGGGACTTGACGATCAGAAGTAGAACAAGAGCTCTGGTTTTTAGTATTAGGGGTGCCTCCAGGTAGCGCAAAGTTATCATTTTCGGGGCTTTCATGTTGAAACTCATCGAACACCTAGGTTGTTAGTCGGAATCCTGAACTCAAGTCATCAGTAAAGGCTCCCATTGACACATACTTCATTGATCAGCCCCATAGCTGAAACACCCTGTGTGTGGTGTCTTAATCTAGAGAAATCTAGATTCTTTTGACGGACATTTGAGCCTGTGTCATTCCAGCCCTCTGCTGGTAAAAGATTTGATACTGCAGCCGACGAAAACAACGAGTTCCTTTGAATAGGGCTCTCCATAGCTTTTAGTCTGGTTGACCACAACGATGATACGGAAGCATTCGTCAGCGGCATCTGAGATTGAGGCTGTCCATTCTGAGGCTTGGGAGACCTAGGAGAGATGTTAACTATGAGGTTCAAGGTATATAAAAATGCACAGCTAGTCCTTAGGACTGGCATTCGGCGGGGGCCTACCTCGTGTTGGTTAGCAGGACACGCTTTACACAAGGCACCTGATCCCTCACACACAGGGCACATGGACGCTCTTTGTCACACTAAACGTTGTTAGAATTAGCATCATCGTAGTGTCACTTCAGTTGTCGATTGTGTCACACAACTTACTCTCAGCTTATGTTTCCGACATCGCTGGCAAGCCTGCCTAACGCGCTTTCGCTGAGGTCGGGCCTGGCAGCCGCTATCTTCGGTCGCTGGAGGTAATTCAAATACATCAGCCGTGTCATTCACTTGGTCCATTGTTCAAGCAAGAATCATCAGCGTTGGTGCATGGAAGTTCGATGAGATTGTTGCTAAAAGAAACAAATGTTCCCCGCGACTCCACCTGATTAAGCCCGCTACCAGACGATTTATTGAATTTTGCATTTGCAGAAACAGACTCGTCACCCCCTAAAAAGGCCCATCCTTGCGTCCATTCAATCCGACCCTTCCATTTCCCTTGTATCTTAATTGGATTGATTTATACACCCCTATAATCCCTCTTAACCTTTCTAACGTTTTCCATCAATTCGGTTAATCGTCGTCTTGCTTGAGCCTTCGTGTTTTGTGGATGCTGCTGATGCCCCGGTCATCGCCGGGATGGGTTCAACATCGCGGTCGTTACGGTGATCCACATATGACCTTCCGAACAAGTCTACTCCGATGTGGGGCCGATACACAACAACCTATTAGGATATTCCGATTCCAGAAGGAAGTGATGGTCGTGTATGACCAAAATATACGTATCACATATTGCTTCTAGGGGACATTGTGGCTGGCATCTGCGTAACTCAATTCCGAAGTCTGAAAATCCACGTCACAACGCCACCACGGCCATACCAAGAACAGTACGGGGAAGCCAGAAAAACATACCAGTAAATTAGATAATCCATAACTTCAAAGAGCCTTTGGATTTTTGGTGCTAAAGAAGGAAGGGGGTAGCAGCTCTCCTGTAGGGGGATTTTTCGCTGTCAATTACGCCAAGAACTCAATTTATCGCATGTCGAATAGAACCTTTGTTTCCGTGCCGTTTTTCGCATGACTGAAGTTAGGCTAGTTCGGAGTCGGAGAGGCTAATCCTTGCCTGAACGTTCGGTACAACTAATCCCTGGTAGGCCTTTCGCGATACTTCGGTCCGACTCCTCCTGAGCGTTCGGCACAACTATCGATTTTCGTCCAAATGTAGCTTGTCGGAGGCCCGTCTGTCATATTAAGGCTCTCAATTTGGCGGGATGGGGCGCTCCTACGTGTTCCCCATACTTCCACGCACGCGCAGAGTCTAGTCCTTTATTTCGAGTATGGTTAAGTGGGTCCGTTTGCCTAGACCCAGATTCAAATCTGGGGTATTGCGGGGGGATATAACTCTCCACTCCCATCACTTCGCCTTTATTCATAGTCAACGAAGATGTCCTTATCAAAAATCCTATTTCGCAAACAACAGCTCGCTGTAGACCAAATGGATGGGATATCTGGCTTGACCAAAGCCAATGCGTACAACTACACTGTGGTCTTGTTTGCCTCACTTGGGTCATTCACATATGGCTACAGCTCATCCATTATCGCGTCCATTTTTGGCCTTCCTTCATTTTTTGATTACTTCAATCTTTCCCTCAGTGGGCCAAATGCAAAAGAAGGAAATGATATCATCGGCGGTACAGTCTATGTCTAGCACGTCTCAGTACCTATAGAAAGCTAACGGTAATTATAACTAGCTGCGAATGGTTTATTCTTTGGAGGGGGGCTTTTCGGCGCTCTTGTTGTGAATCTGATTCTCAATAAGCTGGGCCGGCGTTTTTCAATTCAGATTATCTGTGTCATTTGCATTATCTCTGCTGTGATCCAAGGGGGGGCTGTCCATATTGCAATGATCCTCGTGGGACGGTTCCTTAGTGGTGTTGGTGTTGGTATGATGCAGGTAACAATACCAGCATATATGGTAATAGGCCTTCAGTGTCCACACAGGCTGCGTCAAATAACGTCTACAATAGTCGGAACTCTCACCTGCGAGAGAGCGCGGTCGAATGACTGGTAAATGCGATATACTACGCTCGTTCTACTACTCAATTTCTAACCTCTATATTAGGTTCACACGGAGTTTTAATTGTTGTCGGCTACGTAAGATCCGTCAACCACAGGTGAAATTCTCAATTGACCCATTTTTAGACCGCAGCAGCTTTTACTGGCTTGGGCTGCTATTTTGCTAAGCCCGAGGTTCAATGGCGGCTCTGTTTATGTTTACAATTGGTCGCTCCACTCATTCTCCTTATCGGATCTCCTTTGCTTCCAGAATCTCCAAGATGGCTGGTATCCCATGGCAAAGACTTGCGAGCCTTAGAAATTCTCCTAAAGCTACACGCAGAAGAGCAAGTTCAACGAGCTGCTAAAGAAGAGTTCTATCAAATTTTAATTCAATTAGAGCTTGAAGAGGAGACAGGTGTACATGGTATTTGGGGTATGATAAAACGGCCGTCGTACAGAAAGAGGATTCTATCGGGGTTATTAGTTCAGTACGTCGCTTCCTCACTCTAACTCACGACTTCTCTACTCACCTATCATTCAGATTCGCCTCACAGTCCACCGGCGTCCTTGTCATCAATAACTACCAGATTCTGCTCTACAATAATCTTGGGCTCTACGGCTGGCTCCCACTCCTTCTTTATGCCATTTTTTCGGCTTGGGGAGCCTTCTCTAACTGGATCAACGCTAACCTCCTTGACCGGCTTGGACGAGTGCCCATTATCACATTCGGTCTCATTGGCTGTATCTGTATGATGACCATCGAGACAGCATTAGTGGCAAGCTATGCTTCAACATCGAATCAAGGAGGCAACGCAGCGGCTGTCTTATTTTTGTTTCTTTTTATCGGGTTTTATGGTGGGTCCCAAGATGCTAGTAGCTACGTATATTGTAGCGAAATATTTCCAACTGGAGTTCGAGCCCAGGGGCTGGGAATATGTATCGCAGGCCAGTTCGCATGCGCTCTGATGTATACCGAGGCTGCTCCTGTCGCTTTTGCTAATATTGGATGGAGGTATGTTTCGTCCTTGCCTGTCCTTATCCTTCACTTCGAGTGTTACTAACAGCATAAAGATATTACATTGTTTTTATTATAGTGCCCGCCGTATGCTTGCCACTTCTCTGGCACCTTCCTGAGACCAATGGCTTGCTACTAGAGGAAATAGCAGCCAAGTTTGGAGATGAGGTTGCGGTTAACAGTTCGCCTCTTAGCGATGACCGCCAGCGCATTGTTAACGAGCGTCTTACTGCTTTGGGAATAGATAATCTAGGCGACATCGAAACCAAAAAAACGGAAGGCAAAGGCTTCTGTGAGCAGGTTGAAGGAAATGAACTGTAAGTATCTCACCGGCTTTAGTGCCTGCGTCGCCTCTGCAATCGATCCTTGCGTTATGTAGTGGGTTATGCGAACGCAAACTTGGAGTCCCAACGTGCCGAAACCACTAGGAGCGATTAAAAAACTACACCCTAGGGCCCGTCTTTGCGAGCACATTGGCACCAAACCATGCAACAGCTTGTCGTTGAACGAAGTCATGGAAGAAAAATTCGCCACCACCAAGTGCTTCTTCTGAGTTGGGTTGGCGCCGTGCGGGGATTGTCATATAGTCTATCGCATCGAGGTTGTCGATTTCGGGAAAAACGGGTATGCAATAGTCACCACGCGATGGCTTCATCTTGGTGTCGAGTGATATTCCTTGCACATATGCTAGTCTTCGATAGCAACCTCCTATTTCGGCTTGGCAAATCGGCTCCTCCCTCTTATCCGCTTTCCGTATCGGAAGAAGAGGTACGGGAACGGCATCATCGCTACTGTCAGAAAGGCGAGCACGCTGGTCGCCCACTGGTATCCAAGCTTGTTATACATCTGCACGCCAAAGAGAGGGAAGACAGCTGGAGTGAGAGTTAGCGAGACTGTGATGAAACTTATTGCGTCTGTTTTAAGAGTTGTGTCACAAGCAAATATGCCCAGGGGAGGGAAGGTGTGATATAAATAGGAATAGAACGAACCAGCAAAACAGCTTCGCACGAAACTGTTCGCCGCCAGTGCACTAGCAGCATACTGCGGATAGGCGTCGACAAGAAATGTGAATATTCCTGTGAAGACGAGAAGGTTACTAATAGTAGGCGGCGATTTAGCATTGTCTTGCAGTTGGGGAATATTAAACCAGAGACAACGGCTTTCTACATTTCCAAATTGAACAACAGTTATGACTGAATTGACGTACCCTGCGCTAAAAATGGTAGACCCAATAATCGGAACGATCCAGTGCACACTGCTATACGTCGTCCAACCAAACATGAACAGCCCTATGGGCACCAGCACAGCTCCTGATATCGCAGGCGGGAGTCGGTGCTCTGGCTCAGCGCCCCCATTGTTCTCATTCTGCTTAATTAGTCTCCTATAATTCTGATGCCAGAACGAATCTGTAGCTAGCGCTGCCAGCATCCCCACAAAGAGGCCAAGGAACGAAAGCCCAATCTGCGAGAGCGTGAAGTTGTAGTTATTACGGAAGACGAGCGGGAACGCGCCGAAGAAGAGGTACAGGATGCCTAGTAGGATTGCGGAAAAGAGACACAGATTCATGACCATGAATTCGAGCGCTAGCAGTTGGAAGGGCCGGTAGAGGGAGATGCGGATCTCGTGCTGGATGCTCTTGTTGCTTATGTCCATCGGGGCCTTATACCTCTCATCGCCTGTGTCAGCGCGGATCTGACGTGCCTTGTTGCGCAGCAGCACAGGGTGGTACGTCTCGGGCACGAAGAAGATGAGGAGCACCCACAGCACAAAGCTCCAGATGATCAGCACGTAGTACGTCCAGCGCCAGTGCGTGTACTGGTTGACAAAGCCGCCAATCAGGGGACCGAGCACGGGCCCGATGAACGGCGAGGCGGTGAAGATCATCATGGGCGCCTGTAGGTCGTCGCGCGAGAACAGGTCGCCTACGCTGCCGCCGGCTACAGAGAGGAAGGCTGAGCCAGAGAAGCCGTCGAGGAAGCGCGCGGTGAGCATAGTGGCCATGTTGTGCGCAGCGGCGGAAGAGATGATCCAGATGATGAAGAAGGCGAAGGAGACGAGATATATAGGGCGCCTGCCATAAAACTCGGACAGCGGCGCGAGCAGCATGGGGCCAAAGCCAAGGCCAAGGATGAAGAGGGACAGCCCGAGCGTGGCTACGATCTGGCTGCTGTGGAACTCTGGCAGAATCTGGGCATAGGTGGCCGTGTAGATTGAGGAAGTGCAAGTCCTATCTAGGCATTAGCAATGCTTTTATTACCGAAGGGTTCCTGGATAACTTACACACAGACAGCCGCTACCGAGTTAATCAACACAATAGTCCATTTCTGCCAAATACTCCAACTCCTCGGACTCAACGGGTCCGCATCCCCTCTTTTCCAACCGACGATAAAGGGATCCTCCTTCGCCACCCCCTCCACGGCCTCAATATCCTCGTAACACAAATCTCCATTCCGCAACCTCGTGTGGCTCACTGAGCGGTTGGTACCAGCCTCACTGACAGGTCTCGCATGTGACCCCCGGGCTCCCTTCGACTCGTTACTCTCCTCGCTTTTGGTGTCTAAGCTGGAGCTAACGGGATTCAGACCGTTGCTGGGCGTACTGGTGCGAAACCTCTCTCTCGTGGTAACATCGTCATCTCCGCAGGTTATGGTGACGCCGTTGTCACCTAGTAAAGTCGTCATACCTATAAAAACAAAGCGCTATAAATGCAAGCTCCTGTCCATAATAAACAAAACCAACAACAAGGAGGAATCAATCATGTACACATATATATAACACAATAAATAAAATCAGCAAAATATCCCCATGCCCCTCCCCATGCCCCTCCCCGATGCCGCTCTCCGACAAAAACCCACCCATCGATACTTGCACCCCAGTTTTCCTGTCCGGCCCAGGCTATAGCGGCTTGTCGGGACAGACCCACGTTGTCGGCCCCAAAATTTGCCGAATCCGCGAACGAGCTCCTCATGCCGACCAAGCACAGCATTGGACTCACTTGCTATCTGCACGATTACAAAGATCCATCGATTGTTGATCCGATTTTCGCTGGGTTTAGAAACTGGTTAGGTCGAATTACGGCAGGTATGTATATTCACATCCGTGTATAGTTCTAAAAAAGTATCTGTGGATATGGAGCATAGATCAGCATTGAGAGGCCTTGTTGCGCTCCCTCGATGCTCCTATCTATCCAAGGAACAGCTAGACGGGTATTTAGGGCGAGCATGGCGGTAACAGCAGATACCCCATAGGTGCTTGCTTCTTCATCGGAAATGGTTGCCGGCGACCCTCCAGGCAAGTCGCCAGGAATCTTGAGATAGTCAGCAAAGGATCCACGGTCAAGAAATTATCAAGCATGAACCCATCCGGCTACTCGATCGCCAGTTTTCCAGTTTCCGGGCGCACTGTGCCCAACTTTGGCGACCTTGCCAGCATAGTCACACCCGATAATAGTCCCTCGAGGAGCAACGACATCAATGTGTTTAAAGTCGGTTGGACTGAGGGTGACAGAGGACACTTTAACTAGGATCTCATTGACTGATAGTGAAGGGATCCCACCTGCACGGTATTTTTTTAAGACGTAGTTCACTAGTCGAGAGGCAATTAGCAGGTTTGCTGTGAGTGCTTGCATTGACTTAGGGACCAGTTTAAGGCAAAACTTAAACTTGGAGTGACAGGAGACCAGGATCACGTTAAACCAGCGGGCGGTCCGTTTAGCCGACTAGCCCCACAATTTCGCTGCCTCGGAGCTAATCATCAGAACTGATCACATGTGGTTTATCGATACTTGTTCGACTTTCTTCGGAGCGCAGGAGAGGTAGAGTTGGTTGTTCGGCTTGGTGGCAGAAGCGACCCTTCGGGATTTAGTCTCACTACTGTGCGGCATTCGGACTTCGGACTTCGGAGAAGACGTAGACCAAGGAAGTGCACTAGTTCTGGTCTTTCCTTCTCCCGGCTAGATTCGTTACCCACCGTTGCCACTTCTAGGACCACCTTACAGCTATAGGATAAGTGTGAAGGTTCTATTGCCATTCAAAGTGTTATATATATGTGTGTACCGGTTATTCTTTTCCAAATAGTTCCCACGTCCCCATCCCCCATAGGGCCACGCAACGCAATCGTCAAGCAATACTTTGAAATCATGTCTCTGCTCCTGCACCACTTCTTTCCCCGCAACCCAACGTTCGGCTACGAAGCGCTTCGAGCTGCAGGATACAGCAATTACGGTGGTGCTGACATAAGTGAAATCATTGCCATCTGCTCTCGGATCCCATCGGGCAACGAAGACCGCTGGCTACGCGAGTGGCAAGCCGCAGCAGACCGGGCTGTGTCTAATGCAAAGACAAGTGTTGAGAAGGGCAACCCCATCAGCGCCCAGCAGGCATACCTCCGAGCATCAAACTACTATCGCACTGCGGAGTTCTTCCGACGTGAGGATCCATTCAACGATGAGTTAGCACATACACTATATCAGAAATCGGTAGATACCTTTGTTTCAGCTATGAAATTGGTAGACTATTACTTTGAAGAGGTTGATATTCCATACGAAGGGACGACGCTCCCAGGGTACTTTATGCGTCCAGACCAGAAATCGGTGCCGCGGGCTACTATCATCTTTAATGGTGGCTTTGACAGCACGAAGGAGGAGGCCTGGTTCGCCATCGCTTTGCCAGCCCTGCAGCGAGGGTTTAACGTGCTGATTTTTGATGGCCCAGGGCAAGGAATGGTAATTAGGGAGAGGCGACTATTCTTCCGACCGGATTGGGAGAGCGTGGTGACGCCGGTTGTGGACTACGCCCTAAGCAGGGCGGATGTGGCACCTGAAAAACTTGTCATCTTCGGCTGGAGTATGGGTGGCTATTTGGTCGCGAAAGCTGCAACAAAGGAGCATCGTGCCGCAGCATTGATTCTTGATGATGGAGTATTCGATTTTGGCCACCCATTCCGCAGTCAGACACCAGGCTTCGTGAAATATTTGATTCGCCATCACTGGGATGCCGCAGCAAATGCTATACTTAGGCTGGTGATGCGGACATCAACCGGCACAAAATGGGGCCTCCTCAACGGAAAGTGGACCTTTGGTGCGGCATCTGAAGCTGACTTCTTGCGCCAAGTCATGACCTATACGCTTGAAGGGAGCGCAGGTGAGATCAAAACGCCAGCTCTGATATTGGATGCGCCAGACGACCACTTCCTAAAGGGTCAACCGGCGGCACTGGAGAAGAACGTGGTTTGCAAAACCACTTTTTTTGCATTAACAGCAGAGGAGGGCGCTAGTACCCATTGCCATACGGGTTCGTCCTCAAGATTACATCAGGTGATATTCGATTATGTAGCAGACATTCTCTAAGCTGCCGTGCGTAGCCAGAAGGTTGTCAGATCACAATGTATTCGAGGTCATTGTTGAGAGATACCAAGATTAGGGTTACCTTGGTCAAATTAGGTTTTCCCCAGCCACTCTATTAGGACCTATTGTATGTATAGAAAGAGAGGCTCCTACCTTAGTTCTGCAATGTAATTATTATCCATGTATTTCAGTATGATATCCTCAAGAGTTTCAAGATGCCCCTATAGATACTTGCTAATAGTGTTGCTGAGTCTGGTACAAGATATGGAGCTCGAAAAGCAAGTGTCATATCCATAATGGATCGACTCAAAACATGGTTGAAACAAGGGTACTTTTTTACTCTTCCAACATGAGAAATACTTCATCGAGTCCACAGGATTCGCCTATCAAGGGTATAGAGACGACTACGTCATTGAGGAGCATTCTTTCGGTGAACGACGACATTTGCGTATTGTGATGATACGCAAATGTCACAATACGCAAATGTCGTCGTTAGAATTGGAGCAGGCCCGCCAGATTTAAACATCACGCCCCAATTCGAGAAGTATCTGCAAGCATATGAACTCGCTATATATGAGAAGAATGCAGATGTTGGTAGCACGTAGTTAGAGAACAAATATCCAGGATATGCGTGCAATACCCCATCTGACAACTACTAATTTAAATCGGAGCCACAAGACGGGAATTCCTTGTACTCTCCAACCCCGGAGATTCTAGCCATTACTGCAAGTAAGACGCATTATATTCCTCTTCGCCCTAGTTTGTATTGACCTCAAAGGACTTAAGTACACTAATCCCACTATCTCTATCATTACTGCTCTCACCGATTGTCCCACAGCCCTGCTGGTTCAAATCATCTGAGCCGTTCAGCTCACTGCGGGAGCCATCAGCCGCAACCGTTCTTGCAGGCAAACACATTTCGATATTCTGATTGCCTCGGGTTTGTGAAGAGCACCTTTGTGAATGAAAGACGGGGAAGAGGGCACGGAGGAGCGGGCGGAGCGTGTAGGCAGAAGCGGCGATAATTCCGAGGCTGGCCTCGACGGTGGACCAGATAGCAACTCCACTTAGCATAGGGGATTAGCAAAGAGAATATTGCAAGGGGCCAAAGGAGCCATACGCGGTTTCGAAGAGGAAGTTGTCAGTGATAGTAGAATATTTGATATAACGGATGCGAACCATAGTTGATACTCCGGCTCTGCGTTTTGGGTTAGGATGAACTAGAAAACACAACAGAATTTGGTGAATAACTGACAGAAGACCCAAAGCAAGAATAGCAGCAATGGAAACTTTAGTGAGCCGGTTTAACTGAAGATTCCAAATTAGGGCCATAGGCAATATTGCCAATATCCAATCTGCTGTAAAGGAAACAACGGAATGAGCGATAGTAGCGTCTGATATAATGGCTGCGCTCAAACAGCTCCCAGACTCCCCTTTATATTCTAGATAGCATATCTATTAGTTATGTATAGCCTGGGTACGGACAAGGTAGTAGTGTTAAAGAAGTAAATGTATGCCCTGCTATGTCCTAAGCCGCTTAATTTAACTGCAGAGATAGGAGAGTCTTACGGTCCCAAAAGAAGTTGACAGGTGAGCATCGGAATATAAGAAGAAAAAGATAAAAGGTCGAGAAGGCCATAACCATCGCCATGGTTCCATATATTATGACCTTGTATTTACGTTGCAAGCATATCCTTAAAAGGAATACAGAAATCGATAGTCGCACAAAAACAGTCGTTAAAATATATAAAATTCTAGACGTCGCATTAGTAGTAGCCGAGTTAGGATAAATAGTGAGAGAACGCTTGTCTCTACGGGCTCTTACTCGCACAGGAACCAAAGATAAAGTGCCTTGGGAAGATCCGCAGCTTCAATATCCACATTATGCCTCCCAGTGCCGTACTTTACAGACAGTGTTGCACATGTGGAATAAGTGGTGAAAAGTAACTAGACGAACGTTATGTACTGGTGCAGGTGTTAGTGAGAGTGTGAACTTACTACAGCGGCTACAAGCAACAAGTCCTCTGCCGCCCAGCATCTACTAATAAAGGTCCTCTCACACAATCGCAGTGCGAAGAAGACCCATGCCAATCCCACGGAGAGCCCTATAACAACGACTAGAACAAGAGGTTAGTATGTAGGCCTCGCGATGAATACAGAAGGCATACTCACCACATGTTGGGCCTTTGTTTGCGGCCATGCCCATAGACATCAAGTGAAGGCATAAACTTACTCGCAAATCTAAGTCGGGGGGGGGGGGGGTTATTTGTAGTGTGTGGGGGGAGCTAAATAACATCTAGCTCCCCGCTAAAGCAACAGCCGAGAAATTAGTGTTTTGGCGAAATTCTGGGGTGCGCTAGTACTATAATGGCCTAAAGCCTGCACTAGCTTACCTTTGATGCTCTAGGGAATCTACACGTGACTTTCGAAGGCTTTGCTGTAACCTTCGGCGTACGGGTGTAGTTTCGTACGGTAGAGTAGCTTACGGGCAACAGCATAAGTAAAGGCCGCAGCACCATAGAATTCTACAAGTTGGTTCGCGCTCGGAAATCACATTGCAACCTCGTGCCTACGTCTACACCATCCCCTCCGAAGCTGCATGTCGCATCCTTTTTGACGGTCATCCATCCCAACCACCATCCCTAAACCTACTATGAACAGAGGAGATGAATGCAAGTGTGCTCAAATGTGCCATTCAAAAGCTTTAATAATTATATATCTAAAAAAATGCAGCGCTTATATTCTATCCAAAGCCGGTATCAACGCTAGAGTGTCGAGAGTATATATATGTCAACATCACCGCGAAAGACGGGGAAAGAAGTGGAGCTATATTGACACCTGCCAGTCCACCTCCACCCCCCTGCGATATCATCCTTCTCTCCCTTCGGAATTAGTGTGGCCAGGCATTCCATTGAAACTCCGGCGGCAACGATTGATCAGGTCCCTGGACGATACTAGTAGCAGGCGAAACATCTCGCCGCTACTTGCCTCCCTCCACAAGGCCCACGCTGGGGGTCAAGTCGAGGGTAATGTTGGAGGGCTGAAATGAGGCTTCCTGTAGATGAGTCTGTTCCTCAGTATTAGACCTTTAAATGCTCTTGAATCTGACTCATGGGGTGTGGCCTTAATGCGGCCCTCGGTAGACTGCTCCGCAACCATCTGGGTGGGAGCAAATCTCCATTATATGCGTTTTAGTGATTGCATTCTTGTTGACGAGACGACAATTCAGGACTACATAGCGAGCATTGATAACTTTGATTTGATTTGTCGACACAGTGATCTGTGCATATTCCAAAACGCCAATCGCCACCTTGGCCCCTTCTGTCATGCAATGCCGGCATGTTATAACATCTACAAATTCACCCTGGCGACAACCATTGCCTCAGATACATAACCCGTGACAAACAGCCAAGCCTGCTTTTTTCCGCCATTGGAGGCGGGATTAATACCCACCAATACTGCCGTGCTAGCACTTCTCAACAACTTTCCATCATCCTGGAATATCATCATTATGTCATGGTTGCCTATAGCGTTTTCTCGAACGTGCCAAACCATTGTCGGTATTGGTACGTCGACAGTTCTGGCGGCTTGCCCAAGGGTGTGGGCAAATGGTAGTCCCGCAAGGACATATCCGCTTGCATTGTTCCCAGCGGTTGCATATAGATCGTAGTAGTAGCTGGGATTGTCAATCGTGCTGTCGAGTTGAATGCGAGAGCGAAGGGTAAGTGCTTTTGAGGTGTTGTTGGCAAGATCCCTTCCCATGACGAGCAGGTCACCACCACTGGCATCACTAAGGAGAACTTCATCAGGACGAGTCGTATGGCCCAAGCCGTTTGGGTTGTGGACCTTGGCCAGACCGTTGGTGACTGTTACTTCAGTTAGAGCATCCACAGTGTCGGTCGCGAAATCCACATGTAAAACGTCTGACCAGGCTCCAGTGTTGTATTCAAGCAGATCCTCAACGAAGCGCATTCGTCCATCACGATAGTAATGATCATTTGTGACGTAGAAAGACGTTGGGCTGGTCGCAAAAATGTCATTAGGAGTTCGAATCCGAGCATGTCTGATTGATCCAATCCAGACAGCGGTGTCGCTGTTGATGGTATGGCTGAAAACCTCGATCTGAGAGCGAGCTTTCTGTAGTGAGACGCTTTCGTTTTGCGATTCGCCGTACTCTGGGTTTGGTAAGTGGTTGACAGCAAATATTGTCATTGTTCGCCCATCTTCGCTAGGAAAAATGTCAATTCCATGCGTGACAAAATGCCCCGTGAACCCAGTCAGGGCGAGTTCAGTGGCTTCCAATGTCTGTGATGTTAGAGCAATCGAATATACTACATGTCTGGAATACCCACTATTGGATCAACCACCACAATCATCCCTTGGCCATCATGGTCATGTCTGTCGGTATGGCCTAAAGGTGGAAACCAGTGGCGTCTTGTATGTTCAACACCCTCGCACGCTGTATATAGCTTTCCAGACTCAGCATGGTAGTGCAGATCTTCACAGTGAACTGTATTTGAAATTTTGAGAGGCGCTATATCTCCATGGATGTTCCGAAACTCTTCTTGGGACCTGAGAAATCCAAGCACCGTTGCTCGACGCAACAATGGTTTCCATAGAGTGGCAACACAGAGAGCTAATAGCGCTGATAAGGCTAGCAAAGCACCTTTAGCCATGTTATATCCAACTTTTTACTTCGCATGTAGAAATTCTTCGGATATTGAAGGTGGTACTCAGAAGGTGTGAATTAAACGGCGAATCTTGTTTGGGGGGGGGGTGGTTGTGTCGGCCAAATTTCATTCACCGAGGCAAACGTAAAGTCACATTGAATACTCAAAGCGGTTAGCGGGAAAGAATATCTGTAGAAGCCGACTCGCGACGCATTTTTAGGTTGAGCTCGGAAGTGATCAGTGACAACAGCTGTTTGACTCTGTAATTTATAACCTCTACTGACTCTAAATATGGGAGTTGCAATTCGTCTACACAGAAAGGTTTGGAACACTTTGGAGTTAGAATCTACAAAGGTGCTGATGGTAGGGAGATGGAGGGGTTCAAGGAAGTCTTCGCTAAGGTGAGTGGTATTGGGAAATGTGTGGAATGAGAATAGGAGGCCAAGACTTTGTTTGCC